ATCTGGCAGAAAAAGGATAAAAAGCGAGTCGATAGCGGCCATATTGGATTGCCAAGTGCGCCGCAGTTGATCACGTGGCCGAAAACGGGCCAATGTGGCCCGGGTTCTGATAGGGTTGAATTCATGATAGATATGAAATTAATTAAATAATGTGTCACATAGCTCTTTATATAGGACTGTAGTTGAGATTTAAAATAGTTTCTGCTGTCATGCATATAAAGGTAATGTACAACATTTGCAAACATTAGAAGAAAGAAACCAGCAAATTATTATGAAATATTTTACTTGACCGTGTGTAAATGATAGTCTAATATCTGGCTGCGCCTGGTATGCTGCCTTTTTCAAGAAAAGTGGAATTTTGTATCATTTTCCAACCAATATGGTTCGGGGGCAAACCATCGTTGGAAAAAAACCGCGTTTTTCTGCCCTCAAATACTTCCCCAATTGCAATCGGTAGCATGCCCTTAAAAAGACATAAGCCAGCTAGTCTGGTTCTCTGACCTGATAATTATCTGATGTCTATTAAATACCCCGTTTCGTCGGGTCAGGGAACCAGCATAATGACAGCAGTTTGTTTTTGTAATGGGTTTTCCCTGGAATCCATGAACACAGACTTTAAACAGGTCAGCGGAACGATATTTGCTTAACAAAATACTAACCCCCGAATCCATCCACTCTGAAAATTACAGCAAAATCCAATGTTGTATATTACCTTTAACTTCAACACATTTCATATTTGATTGTTAAAAATATATTTAGCAACGTGTTTAAAAAAAAAGGATATGCTTAATAAGTGTGACGTCGTAGAAATAAGACATCTGTTGAGTCAAACAAGAGATTTTAATCTGCTTTTTCGCTTTATATTAACCAAAAAAATATTCATAGTGCATTATCATAAACAAATGTATTCGCTATTGTTCCTTAAGTTACATTTTTAATTTAGAAATAATTTTAATATGTAATGCGTCATGGATATTGTATTTCTTATACGTGACTGAATTTCATCAGTATGAAGTTATTGTTGGTTATGAATATGAGGCCGTGGGCTTTTCATGCATTGTTAATATTGAACAACATACTTTGGCTGTAAAAAAAAAAAACAATCGCTGAATGGTTTCTAGCTCCGGAACGGCAGTCCGGATGCGCAGGTTGAAACCCCACCCCAGTCAGTCTCCTTATTCAAATTAAAACAACAAAATTATAATGCACCAATCAGTTTCCCTATGTGGACTATAAATATTGATAATTTATTTTGTTATAAAAGGCCGTATCCTCTCTGGGTGATCCCCATTTGCTATTTCCCGGGTTCGCAGCATTGCTAATGTTGCTAAGCATTATGACTTGGGTGTGATCCTGGCTACATGATACATACGGGTTTATAGCGCCCATGAACAAGGACAGTGACGAAATGGGGAGCCACCAACATAGGGCTGGCTAGCTTAGTTGGTAAAGCACCGGAACGGTAATCCGGAGTTCGCATGAAGGCTGAAACCATGCTCCACCAAGTTACTTTGTTCAAATTTGAACTATGTTTTATTCACTTTAAAATTTCCCAAACTACGATAGAGCGAAAAGCACGATAGATATTTTGTTTCTCTCAAAAGGCACGGCGGACCAGAAGCCTATACGGCATTGGTGTTATCGTATAGATCAGATATAATTATTGTGTGATTAAAAAAATGTGTATGTGTTAAAAATAATGTGTTTGTGCTTGTTCATTCAATCATTGTAATCATTCAATTGAATCAATTCGATTATATTAAATATTCATTCAATTTATTCAATTCAATAAATGTAAGGAAATCGTGCATGTATTTTTATGTGTCACGTGTTTCCCCTCGCAGAATGGCGGCGCGTTGTGAATTTAGGACTATGACATACTGACTCACTGGTGGTATTGAGCGCAAGTCTACGTGAGGATAGTGAACGTTCAACCATTAATTATAGACACTAGATTTCATTGGAGTTTAGATTTCACCCGGCCGGTATTTACCATCCGTTTAAGACCGGCTATGTGACGGGCTCTCTATAAATAGGAATGGGTTAACTTTCTAATGAATGCCAGAATGAAGTTTCAATATCGGTGATATTACGTAACAATGCCTCTGTTACGGCGAGGGGAGAGGATACGTGGGGGAATCCCCGCCCCATTCAGCTTCCCTCATTAATCTGAGGGCGGGGCACGTCATTGGCGGATTACCCGTACACATCCGTCAATGAACAGCGCCCCTGTAGTCATTATGACGTCCAGCACCGTACCCCCTCCCCCTCCTTCGCTATTTGAATCTACCAAGCTGCAAGTCCCCCGTCTTTACCCCCCTTCCTCCGAATGATGACAATATGAATCGCCAGTCATTGTGTATACACATTCCGCCTTGCTGCAGGAATTGTATTGGGAAGTGGAACAGGTTTCTGGGGTGTGTGCCCACGTCTGGTGGTTATTGTGTATACCAGACGATTTACAACGAAATCCCTTTAACCCTACTGGTTATTTTGACCACTTTTCAGCCAGGGGAGGGGGAGGATTACGCCCCCTAGATCTCGGCCATCGAGTGACGAAAAATGTTGTCTCTGGGTACATGCATAGAGCAACTCATCATAAACATGCCCAAGAAATGTCATGACTATAGGTCAAAGGGTTTTGGAATTATGGCTAATTAATTGTTCATTATGTACGAATGGTAATTGTACACATCGTATAATGGGAAAGTTCAGTTTTCATGGCGCGTAGCGCCGGACAATTTGTAGCTGCGCGGCAACCCGTGGTCCGATTTTTATATTTTTGGTATCAAAAGATATGCAAGACTCGAGGCTTAAAAGTCATAACAGCTTGGGTGGCGAAAAAAATGTCAAGGCTATCGCGGAAAAAGATGAGGGGGGGGGCGTTCCGCCCCGGTCCTTTAAGGTTTAATCGAATAAATCGAATGTTTACTCCAGTGTTCATTTTTCCCCAGAGTGTTCATTTCTAATTTATGTGATTTTCAGTCTAAGTTGTATAGTCCCTAATTTCACTCCTTGGAAATAACAGAGTAGCTGAAAGTTTGCAAAATAATGATTGGCCACAGCGCATAGTTATTGTTCAAAGTTTGGGGCAATACATGGACACAAACAGCATTTTAAAGATGGTTGTATAGTTTGATAAAATTACTGTGTATATATATTAATATCACATCAATGCGCTAATTGGTTAATTCCGGCACCCGACCTATCTGTAGAGGGATGCTGGCCTACCTAAATAGATGATTTTTCCCCAAACAAAAACTTCAACAACAACAGCAACAACAAAAAGAAGTGAACAAAAGGTGGAATGAACGCACAAAATATCACAATTGCAGAACATAAGAGACCGTCTGTTCCTGGTAAATATATAGACATCAAAATTAATATCAACCAGTCAATAATTTTTGTTCGAGATGATTGTCAAGACCAATTATTTTAAAGGTAAATAATAATGACGACAATTATCAACATTATCTCCAATGATTGAAACGTGGGACTAGACGATTCCGAATGAAAATTGCTCTTATTTTAGATTGAAATACTCTGAAAAAAAGCACATTTCTCGAAATGGTATAATGGTTTTGGGTCAATAAACTTTCATGATAAGCAACATACCGAGAATGACCGTTGTGTAGAGCGTTCAGGCAGGCAATTGTTGTGTTTACTGCATCCATTAGTGCCAAGTGCATCCATTATAGTGCAAAATGGATTCAGGATTCAGTCAGCTTCTGTGCTGTTTCTACTATTTGAACATTTCTTCGAAGAAATGTGTGTTAAGTGGAAGTTGTGGTCGATCGAAGTGTTTTGTGTGGAAAATCAAAACGCCGAAAATGTTTACAGAACACATTTTGGATGATGCAAAACATCAGAAAAAGAGTGAAAAACGCTCTTCACAGACTGGACTTTACGTAAAATAAAGTCATCTTACAAAACGCAACTATTCAATAATGTCAAAAGTAAACTAAACAACGGCACTACAGTCAAAACACTTTAAAGATATTTAATGATAACAACCGAAAATATTGCACATAGGAGGCATTCCCATATACTTCTTCACAGAGTTTTGTCGGCCCATAACCTTTGACCCCGTGGACCTAGTCCTACCCAACTTTACCAACTTCTCAATGACTCCCTCACTATCTAACTTTCCTACAAACCAATCCCGAACTCCTATCTAAACAATATTTTGTGACAAGGTAAAAGGTGACATCGAAATGTCGGCAAATATAATGTCTCCTGTATTCATAAGGTACAATTAATACATTAACTACAGAATGTTACCCGAATGCTAGGGTCACGCATTCCCGAATTTTAAGCCGAATCACCAAGAATAGCATTCTTGAGTAAATCGGGGAATGGTTCTTAGCTGCCTCGGGATGGTTTTGTTTGTTCAACGAAAGATCGTTAAAGATCGGGGAGCACTCCGACAAATTTGGACATGTTCAAAACTGTCGGTTTGATTCGGGAACCAGCTTCAATTCTTGAATTATTCTTGTTGTATTCGTAACTAATTCTGGGTATTCGAACGGCATTCTGGATATTACAGAATTCTTACAAGTTTCGTAGAGGTTTTTTTTTTTTTTTGGCGTAAACAGTCCAGAATCTTGCCTATTTATTACGAAAGTTTCAAGAAATGTGAGAATAATGTACGAATACACTAAAAAGGCATAATTATGGGTCATTCTGGATGATCCTTGAGTTATTCTTATATTATTCTTGACACAATTACTACAAGTCGGTTTTATTCTTCACTAAATTGCATTCATTAGGCTTGGTTCGGTCTTATTCGGCTTTCAATTTGTACCGAGTTCTTGATTATTTTGTTTTATTCTTAGATTATTCTTACGAGCAGCGAATCGGGGCTAATTTCTCCCGATGCGAATTTGTATTCAGTAGAGATTGGGCTATTCGTGGCAATAATTCGGGAATGTGTGACCCTAGCATTTCGATAAATATAGATAAACAAATATATATGACCGTGTTCCCTTCAAACGATTAAATTACGGTTCATTGATAATTCTTGGGGCAGCAGCAGCCCGGTCATGGACTTGGTTTCTTCGGCATCTTCCGATGACCAGGTTTCTCAACTCCGACCGAAAATGCTCGTACTTGAAGCAGTAAATGATCGGGTTGACGAACGCGTTGCAGGCTAACAATATTGTTATCGAATATTGCAACATCAATCCCTCTTCTGAAAATTGTTCATAAATGTACAAGACTATCGGTGGTGTCCAGCAGACCACAAACAAACTGCCGATCAGCAGCATTGTAACGAGGACGTTCTTCTTAGCTTTATTAATGACATTCCGAGGAGCGTTCCTTGGATTAGCAGATTTCTTGGTTAGGGTGATAATTATCCGGCTGTATGTATAGATCAAAATGGTTATTGGCACTAAGTATTCAATACCAATTACCACTGAACCTTGCACAATCTTCAAACCTCTAACCATATCTGTCGGTCGACAACGTCCCTGATGGGCTTCAGCTACAAACATGAAGTGTGAGCTATATATAAAGCCGATACACCAAGGAATTCCTACGGCAAACTTCAGCTTGGCTTTGGTCCAGGTATTGCGATGCCTCACCGGGTGGCAAGTCGCCATAAACCGCTCCACAGATATCATAACGAGGTTATACGTGGATGTCACACTGACGATCAAAGGTGCGAAATCTTGTAATAGCAAGCGACAAATAAGTTGATCCTTTAAGGTGCCCTCGGTGGATACTGACATTTCGTGGGTATTTATAACGGCACGTTGCAAGAAATACAAGACTCCTGCAAGAGAGTCAATGACTGACTGGTGCAGGATGAGACGATTTGTGAAGGAGCTGAACACCCGTCGTCTGAGCAGCATAACGGTGATGACCATGCCGTTACCGAGCACAGCAAGGCAGGCGATGATTGTGTAGACTGCAGCTAGTACAGGGCTGAGCAGAGTCAGTTTCCAGTCGTCTTTCGTACCATTTCCGACATTTGCCATAATTTCCAGAGCGACCGAAGACATGATTTCATACGTACTTATTGTCTATGGCTTCAGTCCTATAGTACTGGTACAGAACGACGCTCGCTTGCGGTAAACTGTAAAATGTCTGAAGGGTGTTCCAAGATTAATTATATTGATACGCCTGCTTTCTCTAAAGCCGAAGTTTAGTCCCATAATATCACTTTATTTTCTGTATCCAAATTGTAGTCTCAACGTCAGTATTGATTAGTGTCTCAATAAAATCAAGTCAGTAATTTTAGAGTCGTTGTTTCCATACTGAAGCAGTATAGTACTCAGGCTGCTCTCGATTGTTGATGTCAGATGTGTGCTAGCCTAGTATAATATTTACCATCTGAAGTAGAGGAAGAGCCTTTGTATGAAAACGTCGCTTTGCAATTACGCTGCCAATCAGGCAGACGGCTATTTGATTAAAATCGCCTTTTTCAGCGCACAAACGAAAACCCGATTGTGTATATTATTTATTATGGAACGCTGATCCTTCTGATATAATAGTTACCACAGAGATACGTTCGCTGTCAGTGAAGGGAGCTTCATCTATTGGTAATCATTAATCCATCGTTGAACCACCATCCATTGTTCCCTTTTGAAATGGCAGCAAATCATCAAAAGCTTACATCGTGACACGCAATTAAAATCTTTGAGCTGCTTCCAATAATGCCTTTTTCATTATCCATCGTCAAGCTATTTAACAAAATGAATGTAAAACCATAGCCAGCTAGCCAGGCGGGCAAAGATGTTTTTTTCCAAACTGTTCCGGCAGGAGTATGAGAGCGCACTCTTCGCGCGCATGCAGATTCATAGATGTCCTGGGGTTTTGAGAATAGGCTGCAGATTAGTAGTATATTAGTAATAGACCATAGCGGAGCCATGATTTATAACATTTGAGCAAATTCGCTAATAAAAAAAACCCTACATCTTGATTTTGATCAATCAGGGAGCACTTTCTACATCGGGTCTTCGATCATTCACCCGTTTTCGCGTCATTATATGGGTAAACAACAAACCCTAGACACAGCAACAAAGGCTGTGTCACGCAATCTGTAGTATGTTACGCGATACGCGTCTGTCTGTTGTTGTATTTCAAAACACTGTTCCCATTTTTTTTTGAAAAGTATATTTTGGAGATTCTACTTGCACATCTTTACTGCAAAACCGGTATCTATGGTGAATAATTATAAGAACATGGCAACGATTCAAAATGGTTACTATATGTGTCACACCCCTGCCAGATATGATACCAAAAAGCCCCCGCTTTTCAGAGAGATTTTTTTTGGGGTGGAGGGGCAATGAACTTGGGTCTTAAATACTATGAAACAGCCTGGGAAAGTGTAGCTTCGATTTCAATTTCGATTAAGCGCACTCCATTCCAAGTCATGAATGCGGTACTGAACGCTTCCAGATGACATAAATATTATGTGCACAAATGAATGGACCAAATCATGTTCCCGCGAAATTGGTGGAGAGTGGCAGTGACCTGGGAACTGACCACCCCTGCCAGCTGTCGGTAAAATGGTAAAGTCTTGGATGTCATGGTAGAACAGCCCCTGGCTGCATGCCGTTTGGGAGATTCAAAATAAAAAACCGTTTTGTTAACTAATTGTACCACGCCCCCTACCCGGGGTGATAAATTGACAAGTGCCCTTTAATATCAAGACCACGTTTCTTTTGTTCATCCAAGAACAACATGAGTAATTAACAATTTAATTGTGCTGCCATGACTGATTGTATGTTATAAACCTCTGGCAGAAATTAAGACCGAGAGTAAGTCCACCTATCAGGATGTCGTGATATGTCATAGTATGCCATTTACGACCGGTCGTAATTAAGTGACATAGATATTGTATGGACGACATTGACAATGGTTGGAAAATACAGAAATTTTATATATACATGTAATTAGTGTACTCCGTCTATAAACTATAAAGTGGTGTAATTTATATGTATATATTATTTTAATAACAAATTAATTATGCATTACTTATCACGTTGACAACAGTAACTGTTTAATATTATTGAATATAACTGACGAAGCAGGGAATAATAAGCAACCCGAACCAAGGCAACAGGGTGTAACTTGAAAAAAAAAAATAAGCACATTTCGAGAAAAAAGTGTAAAAGTTCAAGGTCCTCTATGTGTTGCATTAACAATGAAGTTTTAAACCATTTTTGTTTTACCAGAGGGTGTGAATAATGCTGTGAAAATACGTCAGAAATGTCAGTTTCTTAAGTTTTCCAAAAAGCAATTTTTTACCAATTGCACCATTTTTAGCATAAAGTATCACAAACGTAGAAAAAGGATTATTTTGGCTCAAGGATGTGTCTTGCGAAAACATATTCATAATGCACAGAATTGCACTTCCACGATGTGTTTACCATACTTTTCAATAACAAGGCAAGAAAAAGCGTATTGTTATAGTTACGCACATTTGCCTTGTTACATCAAGTCACACCTGGCACAAAACAGTATGTGTCTTTTGTCAAAGAAACTGAACCTAGCTAGCACAAATTCGCACATGTTTCCCATTATAATCTTTTAACTTGAAGGCATCATGGACTTGACGGTTAATCAAATGGCAACTGCGCCCCGAATAACACTAACAATGACATGATCTCAAACTGACAAAAATTGAAGTTAATCATTTTGCCTTGTGGGGAGCTGGCACTCGTTTCTACATAATCGTAACTCAAACATGGAAACAATAGCATGTATCAAGCGATATGATTCCAACCCACTTTGATTAACAGAAGCACCTGGTCAAACCTTCACGTGATTGTATGAGTCATTTAAAACCGACGCATACCTAAATGTGAATAGCACCCTTAAGAATACATTATCAACCTCATCCGTATCATGATTATGCATGTTGGTAATATAAACAGGTTACCTCAACCATATTTTCCCCCTTCCTCTTTACCCGTCGAAAGAAAGAACTAAACATACGAGACTCCAACATTGTTCTAGACACATGTCAAAAAGGGAACATTTTGGGGAGCACAATCCGAAGGCGAAGATTTGAATGAAAGGATGTTATATTCCATAATTGGGTCATGGAATCCGAAATAGCAATACAAATAGGCCTAAGACTACAAGTGCAATGTATATTTCACGATTAGATTCTACCAAACACATGCAAGGGCGGATCCAGGGGGGGCAAAGGGGGCCATGGCCCCCCAAAACGAAATATATATATATATATATATATATTTTATGTGACATCGCAATAAAGGCAGGCAATGAGCACATCACCATCTTTTCCTCATAAAAACATTGGTTTAAGTGGTCAGAAATTGCCTCAGATCACACCACAGAGCATCTAGAATCCAAAAAAAATTTGGGGCCCTTAAGCGGGCCCCGAACCCAACGCCGTGATTTTTTTGACCCACTTTTTTGGGGACCAAAATTGTGTTGCCCCCCCCCCAAAAAAATTGGGTTCTGGATCCGCCCTTGAACACATGTTGCTTTACAGTGAATGCACTGACAAATTCGGGTTCATTCTCCGTGCAGCAGCTGGCCTTGGAATGGCCTCCACTGCCCCAACTCGCTTTCTACGACACCTTCTGGTGACTAGATTTCTCAACTCCGACCGAAAATGCTCGTACTTGAAGCAGTAAATGACCGGGTTGACGAACATGTTGCAGGCCAACAGACCTGTAATTGTTGCATACAACCAGCCTTCCCAAATTCGCGATATGTATGCATTGACGTAGAAGACTTCTGTTGGTGTCCAGCACACCACAAACATCACGGCTATCAGCATCGTCGTAACAAGGACGTTCCTCTTAACTTTATTCATGGCATTCCGAGGACCGTTCAGTGGATTGGCTGACTTCTTAATGACAATGAAAATCCGGCTGTATGTATAGATCAAAATGGTAATGGGCACCAAATATTCGATAGTTATCACTGCTAATGCTTGAACAATCTGCAAATCGATTTCCACTTCAATAAATCGACAACGACCCTGACGTGCTTCAAACATAAATATAAAATGTAAGCCGTATATGAAGCCAATGGCCCAGGCAGTTCCAACAGCAAATTTCTGCTTGGCTGGGGTCCAGGTATTGCGATGCTTCACAGGGTGACAGGTCGCCATGAACCGCTCCAGCGATATCATGACAAGGTTGTAAGTGGAGGTCACATCCAAGCACCAAAGAAAATAGTCCACGCTTATGAACCGACATATGAACTGATCGTAGATATTACTTTCGAATGACACATTCTTGTAGACGTTTTGGAAAACTACCCGCCACAAGAAAAACACAACGCCAGCAACACAGTCAACGATTGACTGATGCAGGATGAGACGATTAGTGAAGGAGCTGAACACTCGTCGTCTGAGCAGCATAACGGTGATGACCATGCCGTTACCAAGCACAGTAAGGCAGGCGATGATTGTGTTAACGCCATCCAATAGCGGGCTATGGAAAGTTTGGATCCAAAAGTCATCCGTCATGTTGCCCACATCAACTGCAGACATGGTTACTGGTTTAATAGAAAAGCAAATCTGTGTTGCAGATATTTTAAAGACTGCAAGCGCAAGCAGCAAGTCGCATGCGCGAAACACTGTCTAATCCCTCCAATCCTACATGCATTACATTTGGCCCAGACATAAACAATTCCAGTCTCTTGACAGTAACGCTGCATCACCCTCTACATAGTTAATGTTCAATGAAATTAGTACGTGCAATAGCTTGGACGCTTAATTACAGAGAATGTTGCCATGGCAAAATGACATTCAATCAGAAAGAAGAAAAAAACAGTTAAAGGTACGGCGTTCAGTCTTGTAGTATTGCTATCAGAACGACGCCCGCTTGCGGCTAACTGTAAAATTCATATATGTGATTCAAGATATCTTAACATGCCTCACCAGGCAAAACCTTAGTCCCAAAATATCACGTTATTTTACTGTATCCAAACTGTAGTCTTTATATCAATATTGTATCTCGAAGGCATAGAGTCTGCATTTTTAGAGTCGTTACCATACTGCAACAGCATCACTCAGGTCGCAGGCTGCACCTGATTCATGATGTCAGATGTATGCTTGTGTATCATTCTCCATCTTGAGGAAGAGCCTTTGTTTGAACACGTCGTTTTGCAATAATGTGCCACTCACGCAGACGACCATTTTATTCAAATTGTCGAAGCCCTATTGTGTATTATTAATAATGGAACGCTGATCAATCTGACATAACAGTTACCATGGAGATACGTTGCCTGTCAATGAAGAGAGCTTTATCCACGGGTACTAATAATCATCAACCCATCGCTGAACTATTAACCACTGTTCCCTTTTGGAAAGACAGCAAAATCATCAAAAGCATGTCTCGTTCGACCGTTTCTATATAATTCGTTTTGCATTTGTAAATCTTTGTAAATTTATAAATCTCTGACCGGAAGTTGAATGAACACAACTTATCTCGACCGAAGAAATATTAGAAACGAATAGCAGCCTTAATCGTACCAAATACAAATAAACTAGAGGTTCATGTCTTTTGTGTGCTTCTCGCGAATTTGAGCACAGATCTATAAAGAAGCAAGGTTGGAGGTGGTGCATGAGGGCAAATCCCCTTTCGAGGGACGTGGCCTCATGTTCCAATCTCGCCCAAATATTGAATTTCCCCTGACAAAAATTGGACAAACAAAGGCATACAGGGCGTGTCAAAAAAAAAGCGGAACCACAAAATCCATTTCATAATTAAAATGAAAATGTGTAGGACCAAAGATAATTATGAGTGGAAAGTCAATTTCATAAACTACTTTAAGATTAAGATTGCTCTATCCGTTCAAAGTATATCACAATTTAAACGCAATGACCCTAAAACTTCTTTCGTCCAAAAACGCAATTTCAAGAATCGTCGCCACGATTGTCCTCAAATATCACGAGCGGCAAACCCCGAGTTAAAAAGTTACAAATATTTAAGTAAGTCCTTTTCAAGGCCCGTCTTTTAAAAAAATGGATTGTATAGATCACATTGTTTGCCTAAGCAGGGTTGTTTATAAATATATTGTGTACTACTGTTGTAAAAAGATGTGGAAACAAGTATTCTATGTCATTTTTGTTTGTTGTTCCAAACAATCAAAACACACAGTAAATTGCTTCTTTTTTACAAAACGGGAGCTAGTTACCGGCCCCTATATTTTAGGGGCAGCCGGCAAACAGTCCAGCGTACTTGTGAAAGCGTCCTCGAAAGTACAGTACCCCTCGTATATATATAACTATATTGTACCTGGGTTATATCGAAGGTCCTACCATGTGCATTATTATCATTGTTACAATTAGCATAAATCCCGCAATAGGGCGACAAGTTGTGCGGGACTTCCCCTACATTAGGGCGACACACCGCAATAAGGCGACAATTTTGGTGTCACCCTATTGAGGTCACTACCCTTTAGTGAAGGAATTGTAGTGTCACAAATGGGCTAGATTGATTGCTTGTGGTACAAAACGTACACATACCAAACTTGGTTGGGATCAGATAAGGTAAAATTGGGTTAGGTCGCATTAAAGTTTGAAAAATTGTGTGCACGTTTCTATGGAAGTGTCGCCCTATCCTGCAATCCAGAGTTATACTAAATATCATTGTAATTTAGCCGTCGTGAAAAAGCAGAATACACGATACTCCGATATTGCTGTGACACTTTATTGAAAGAAGAACAATTCTTGCCGAGCACAATCCGTAGGCCAAAATTTGGCGTGCCATGTTATTCCCTCATTTCGTGTCGAAATTCTCAAATGCGGAAGCAGGTGGTTATGTAGATGTATTTCAAATTAAAACCAAATAAAACCTCCCGAGAGTCACATTTTCATTGAGTCAGTTTTGATGCTGCGCATAGTATTATCATGTTGACCTACATCAGCAAATAACAAAACAATTATAAAAACGTACTTCTTAAAATAGGTAATTACGATACGGAGACAGTAATTAGTATATTGAATAGCCCACAAAATGTACTAAATACTACGCGATTACAGTGACTGAACTGTCAAATTCTGGTTCATTCATGGGGTAGCAGCTGGAATTGGAATGGCCTCCCCGTCCCCAACCCGGCTTGTACGACACCTTCTGATGACCAGGCTCTTCAACTCCGACCGAAAATGCTCGTACTTGAAGCAGTAAATGATCGGGTTGACGAACATGTTGCAGGCCAGCAGGCCTGTGAATGTTGCGTACAACCAACCTCCCCATATTCCCGAGATGTATGCGCAAACGTAGAAGACTTCTATTGGTGTCCAGCACACAACAAACATAATGCTGATCAGCATCGTCGTAACGAGAATGTTCTTCTTAGCTTTATTAATGAAATTCCGAGGACCGTTCAGCAAATTGGCAGATTTCTTGATGACAATAAAAATCCGGCTGTATGTGTAGATCAAGATGATAATGGGCACCAAATATTCGACAGTAATCACTGCTGATGCTTCAAAAATCTTCCAACCGATTTTCAATTCAACAAATCGGCAACGACCCTGACGTGCTTCAAACATAAAGACAAAATGTGAGCCGTATATGAAGCCAATGGCCCAAGCAGTTGCAACTGCAAACTTCAGCTTGGCTGGGGTCCAGGTATTGCGATGCTTCACAGGGTGACAGGTCGCCATAAACCGCTCCAGCGATATCATGACAAGGTTGCATGTGGAGGTCACATCCAAGCACCAGAGAAAATAGTCCACGTATATGAACCGACATATCAACTGATCGTAGATATTGCCTTCCAATGACACGTTCTTGTAGACGTTCTGGAAAACTACCCGCCACAAGAAAAACACAACGCACGTAACACAGTCGATGACTGACTGGTGCAGGATGAGGCGATTCGTGAAGGAGCTGAACACTCGTCGTCTGAGCAGCATAACGGTGATGACCATGCCGTTACCAAGCACACCCAGGCAGGCGATGATTGAGTTAACGCCATCCAATAGCGGGCTATGGGTAGTTTGGATCCACAAGTCATCAGTCTTGTTTCCCACATCAACTGCTTTCATGGTTAATGGTTCCGTCCTGTGTCCCACATCAACGGTAGACATGCTTACTTGTTTAATACAAAAGCAAGTCCTTTTCTGCCGTTATTCTAAAGACCGCAACCGCTAGCAAACCAACCCACGAAACACTGTCGAATGTCTCCTATCCTATTTTTATCCTGATCATTTGGCCCAGCCATCAACGAATCCAGTCTGTTGACGGTAACGCTTCATCATCCCAAACAGAGTTAATGTTCAATGAGATTAACACGTGCAATAGTTAAAACGCTTAGCTTCAATTAAATTAGAGAGAAGGTTACCATGGCAAAATGAAAAATGAATAAGATGTATTCACTCAAGTCGCCCGGATAATGCCGTTGTCGTTGAGATCTAGAGTTAAGGGTAAGGTGTTGGTGAGTTACAAATGCAGGGTGGTCGAGCAGACAACTATTTTACTGCACATTGCAACGAATATTTTGTAAATATCTTTGTCAGAACAATAAATATTCACGAAATTCTGCCTTTTCCAGTGGAACCATTTGTTTGAATTTGACAAAAAAACATCAATTCATCCTGTATGGTTTGATAAATTGTATTACACGTTTATCGGCACATAATAGTTACTTTCTGTTTGATGACGTCATAAATAAGGAAATGTATCATATTCAAAAGGATGCATTTTTAAAAATAAATTATTAATGTTTGCATTCGATTTCGTGATTTGTTTCTGTTCTGACATACAAAATTCAAACCTGCTGAAACTGAATTCGCACTCAATCTGGAAAAACCCGAATTGTTAAACATGAAAATCAGGCTCGCTTGTGTGCATTGACAGTTATACACAAGAAAACTTCATAATGAGCAGGTTTTCTTGTTTTCAGACTTTAAGGTGTACTAGATGTGGTATACTGTCTTCAGATTTACTGACATGCAACTTGACTTTCATAAAGATAAATAAATAAATTATGTAAAATAAGTCCACCTCCAACAACATGGTCTCGAGCATTTCATTTATGTTTTAATGACGAAAATATGTGACTGTGCTAGTTTGGAACATAGGCATTTGTTTTATGCCAATAAAAAAATAACGAGTCGTGCTTTATGTGCATAATCATGGAATCGCCTTGTTTAGAACATATTCATTACAGTCTTTATCCTATGATTTTTTTGGTCGTTCTTCGCATTCGGCAATACACTGATAAAGGCTTATGTCAAGATGACATAAACTACAGCCACTTTAGTGGCTAACAGTTCTCTTACATTAATTGGATTTCGGTTATTTTGTTATTGAATAAATTTCCTTACTAACTTCCGTGCTCGACTCCCCAAGAATATCGGCGACGCAGCCTACCACATCCTATTTATCGATTATCTGTAGGACCCATTGATCCAGTACCCAAACGAAACGACACGGCTCGGGACAAAACCATAGCTTCGAGTCAACAAAATGCCACTGAATTAATTATTATGGCAGATCGGCGAAATATTTGGGGAATTGTGCCCTTGATGATACAAGCATTTGGCAAACATAATATGACATGAGAAAAAATATTTGGCTATAGGGCCATCGCAGATTTGTCCTTTGAAACAAATATAGGTAGAATAACAAGCAATCTTCAAATTTTCAAAATGGCTGCCATTGCTTGTTATTCTACCTATATTTTCTAAAATGACAAATGTTCGATGGCCCTATAGCCAAATATCTTTTTCATGACATACTCTGACTGTGTGCGAAATGCCATGCTTGTATCACCAAAGGCACAATCCCATCACCTATCTGCCGTACTATATACGGAGTCCATTCTGTCGTGTTTTGGACAGCAGTAGCATCATCAGAAGCTCTTATGGAGTAGCCAAGTGTGTGAAAATCACAATAATTACGTTAACTATCATACAAAAGAAATCCGTCGCACTACATTAAACGTAACGACATGGCGAGGGAAAGGTGGCCACTATACCATTTTTCAGATTAGGGTTTGATTGCGAGGTTCGCAGGAAAATGACTACAGTACCTGCGTTTATAGAATTCCATTTGTCAAGCAGCACCTGCGATTGACACGACCTCCCCATCATTGACTCGGTTCCTCGGACATCTCTTGAGTATGAGTTTTCTCAGTTCTGAGCGAAAATGTTCGTACTTCAAGCAGTAAATGATCGGATTGACGAACGTGTTGCAAGCCAACAGGCTGGTGAACGGATAGTAAAACCGAGCACCCCAATCATCTCTAAAAAGTTGTCGAGAAATGAAAGAAACTTCTGTTGGCGTCCAGCACACCACAAACATAATGCCTATCAGCACAGTGGTAACAAGGATGTTCTTCTTGGCTTTAGTCATGGCATTTCGAGGACCGTTCACTTGTTGATTTGCCGTTTTCCTTTTCAGCATGATGAGTATCCGGCTATATGTATATATCAAAATGGTGATGGGGACTAAGTACTCAATCGCCAACACGATTGTATGATACAAAGCCTTTATTCCGGAACTCATTTCCATTAGTTCACAATATCCCTGGCGAGCTTCAAAGACGAAGGCAAAATGTAAGTTATACACGAGCCCTACACCCCAGGCAGATGCCACTGCAAACTTGAGCTTGGCTGCCGACCAAGTATTCCGATGCTTCACCGGATGGCAAGTCGCCATAAACCGCTCCAGCGATATCACGACGAAGTTGTAGGTCGATGTCACATTCACCCACCAAAGAACGAAATCTGTGACAAGAAACCGACAAAGGAGTTGATCATTAATGTTGCCCTCGATGGAGACTGAAAGGGTTTGAGTCTTGATCACAACATGGTGAATGAAAAGCAAGACTCCCTCAGTACCGTCAATGATGGACTGGTGCAGGATGAGACGATTTGTGAAGGAGCTGAAGACTCGTCGTCTGAGCAGCATAACGGTGATGACCATGCCGTTACCAAGCACAGCCAGGCAGGCGATGATTGTACTAACTGCATCCTGAAGAGGGATACTTGGATATGCTTTCCAATCCTCACTTGTGTCATTCAAGGCGTCGATATCTACCAATGTTATTTTGTGATCCTGTACAGACATCTTGTTCCTTTGTATTTAACGCTTCAGGTTTCAGGATTGCAAATTCAGATTTTGCGAAGCTCTCTGTAATGAATGCTCTCAAAGTACTGGAGCGTTCAAGCAAATGCTGTTATTGACAAACTGAGAAAACTGAACAGATTGAACAAACGCATTGAACCTCACCGCAAACAACCCAACGCTATATCAACCCTTTCTCTTTTGCTTAATGAGCACGTATTCCATCTCCGTCTAAGGAAATGAGTTCACGTTGAATAAATCATATATTGCATGTCCATGCATGTCAACACTCTATTCCTGACAAAGAATTTTGACCACACGTACATGTTATGGCAAGCTAGTGAGCCACTTGTCTTCAAACTCCTTACTGCTAGCAAATGTATCAACCCAACCGGCTTGTAATAATGCATGCTATCCCTCACTCGTTGGAGAACAAACACGTCCTTGATTAACATTGAACAAGTTGGTGACATTTATAGGCCCAAAATTTTGTTTCAATCATCGTGGCTGCCGCCGTGTGTGGAGAGGGGGCTTGCTTGCTTGTTTCTCCTTAGCAGGACGGATGAACGGACGAGTGGGGCACTAAGCTAGGCGGGAGGGACAATGGCAGCTGGATGCGGGATGAGGAGTCAGGAGGTCTTGGCACACATGTTCTTCATGAGGGTTGAGACAAGTGTTTTCCAGTTGTGCCGGGTGGGATTCCGGATTTATTCTGACCTGAATAACCCCAAACCTGCATAGTCTGAATAAAGACGTGCAGGCGGTCGGGAAAATACAAATACATTCAATTAATTCTTGGTTCGCAATGAATAGACACTGAAAACTAAATGTGCTACCTGTAAGTGCATGCAGAGTCATTCCAATTTCCTAATTATTCCTTAGTATCTCTTCAAAATAATACACGTAGGGCCTCTCTTCCTACGTCGAACCCGTGAGTACGCGGCAGGGACACAGCGTAGCGCACAGGCGATTTACATGCTCAAGAAAGTACATGCTGAAGAAAGTTAGTGGGCAAACAAATGTTAACAATACCATAGCATGCTCAAACGGCAAGATCACAAAAAGGGCAATGTTCATGCTAATTCCATAAAAAACGACATTGATTCACATTTCCAATACACAATGCTGCATTACTTTATTTCCCTACAAACATATCGCTCTTTTCTGGTCTCAAAATCTCTGCAAATAGTAAACCAAAGTTACATCCAATATAACCTAGCGGATCAATATAATAATGCGGATATCCTTACTATAATAATCTATTCTTTTAAAGTGTGAACATTCGGATGCAATTGACTATAGAAAAATAGACTTTTTTACCTGAATAAAGACGTGCAGGCGGTGAGGGTTAAAGGTCACCGCTGCCAGCTGTCATGGTCACGCTTAGGCGTCGGTATGAGAAAATAAGTAACATTAACTGTACTTTCTTCAAACAAAAGTGCGCGGATAATATTAGAACATGAAAAGGCAACATGAAATAATTAATAACATTCAAATTATGAATTGTTTAGGGAAGACAACCTCTTCACGTGGTTCATCTGACTGTCAATCCATGCAAGATTTCGGTTAATAGGATTATATTGATCTGATTTGGTATTTCTGGCTGTGGTTTATTTGAAAATATTTCTTTTTTTTCACAGGAATAGAGTCCGTTGGCCGACAGTTTTCGCCCGACTTATATTGACAGACATTGTTATTAATTAAACCTGATTGCAAACATCCAAACTTTGTATCTTTCAATTTCGATTCATTTCCAGCGTGCAATTCAGATGGAAAGTTCGTTTTAGGCCCAAAAAAAAGGACTCCGGTTTCTGGTATGGAGCTTGCCCAAAAAGTGGTGCGGCGACTCGGCTTTTTTTTTAACTGTTTTTTTTTTGCTTCAAATGTCGACTGATGACTGCAAATGGTGTCCGACTAAACTTAGTGCAAATATATAGGGTCCAGAGAGGCTTCATAAAGCTTATTCTTAATCATAACCCCATCTAAAATACGTTAAAATTGTGCAGCAGCAGGATTCCAGTCAAACCAGTGAGTTTGGCGGTTTGAGACATCATCTTTCATTGAAAAAAAAAATCATTTTGCCGACGCCCATGGCTACGGCGACACGTGCGCATACCAGAAACCAGAGACTTTTTTTGGCCTTATTGCAATAGGCCTACACGAACGAACTATTCATTCCTGAAGGGTCGAAAAACCTTTAGGGAGAAAACACGTGAAAATTCCAGTGTTGTAGTCGAGTCACTTACGTCAAGCCTCGAGTCCGAGTCCGAGTCCGAGTTCGAGTCACGATTTACCTGTTCTCAGTTGTTCACCAAACTATTGAATATAGCGTGCGTCAGATGTGCGCCGTAAGCAGACACACTTTGGTACCATACCGAGCGTCACTTTTTGGCATGACACCGGGCCCTGGTGCCGGTCGTTCAGGCGCTAGACGTGCGTGCGCAGCTCCTGGATTCGATTTTCCGTGGCGCCTTGTTTTGTCTATGAAGTAAAAAATAATGCTGCGTTCGTCGCTCAAAATACGTAACGGGATCTTTTTTTTCTTTTAACAAAAATACGTGACTTGAGTCACGAGTCACCAAGCTCGAGTCCGAGTCATCATGGTCGAGTCTGAGATCGAGACCGAGTCCGAGTTATTTTCCAATGTGACTCGAGTCCAGTCCGGGTCACGAAAAATGTAACTCGAGTCCGACTCGAGTCCAAGTTCTGGACTCGAGCCTACAACACTGGAAATTCCCATCCGGCTCATTGTTACTATAACAACCAAGTCTGTTAACACCGTAATTATGACCGATTATGACGACTTTTCGCTTAGTTTCAATGAGCAAGGGTTTGGTGTTGCTGGCGTTTATTGTAAGTTTGTTTCTGACACACCAATGGTAATCTCTAGCTAGGGGTGTATTCAAGTTGTTCACTATCTCATCAATTAACGTTGATAACAAATCATGAAAATTACGCAAAAAAAATATTAATAATACCTTCAACAATAATGGTCTTGAACATTTTAGTTTTGTTTTTAATGACGAAAATGTGTGATAGTACTGTCTTGGAACATAGAATAGGATTAATACCCATAAACAAATGCCGAATCGTGCTTATCGTGAAAGAATAATGGAGTGGAAGAGTGATGTCGCCTAATTAAGAAACTCATCATAACAGGGTTACTTAACCCACAAATGTAGTCATTTGTTATTTTCTTTGGCATTTCTCCAAAATGTGGGTGTACATGTGCAGTTTAATACTTACTGGGGAAGATTAGTATCAAGATAATGTGAACCACATACACTACCAACCAGTTCTTTTCAAATTAATCAAGCCTCAACTATGTTCATTTATTGAGCACCAGAAAGCATGGAGACGGCACAGTGCTTTCACTTTCGAGTCAGCAAAGTGCACTTTTAACTGTGCAAAGCTCATTATCTTGAGGTTTACACGGCAGGAGCAGCACCAAGTAACCGAATATGTTGAGACAACAATTCAAATGTCTGTTTACTATCATCAGAAAGTAATATGACGCACTACACTATACACATTAACGTGGTCGTGAGAAAATGGCCGCTGCAGAGAACTAAGCATTAAGCCAACATATCAGTTTTTGTAGAAATGACTCCACTTTTTCATAAATGTGTATCCATTCTCAAAGCAGCAACTGCAATTGACATGACCTCCACATTATTCACTCGGTTCCTCCGACATCTCTTGATTATGAGTTGTCTAAGTTCTGAGCGAAAATGTTCGTACTTGAAGCAGTAAATGATCGGGTTGACGAACATGTTGCAAGCCAACACGCTGGTGAACGGATAGTACAACGGAGTGCTCCAATAAACAGTAAATCGTTGATAAATGTACAAGACTTCTATTGGTGTCCAACACACCACAAACATAACGCCTATCAGCATCGTCGTAACGAGGATGTTCTTCTTAGCTTTAGTCATGACAATCCGAGGACCGTTCGCTTGTTGATTTAACGTTTTCTTTCTTAGCATGATTAATATCCGGCTATATGTATAGATCAAAATGGTGATGGGGACGAAGTATCCAACAGCCAAGACAGCTGTGTGATATAAAGCCTTTACTCCGGAACTCATTTCTATTAGCTCACAATATCCCTGGCGAGCTTCAAAGGCGAAGACATAATGTGAGTTATACACGAGCCCTACACCCCAGGCAGATGCCACTGCAAACTTGAGCTTGGCTGCCGACCAAGTATTCCGATGCTTCACCGGGTGGCAAGTCGCCATAAACCGCTCCAGCGATATCACGACGAGGTTATAGGTCGATGTCACATTCACCCACCAAAGAGCAAAATCCGAGACTAGAAAACGACAAAGAATTTGATCACTAACGTTACCCTCCATAGAGGCTGTAAGGGTTCGAGTCTTGATAACGACGTGGTGAATGAAAAACAAGACTCCAGCAATAGTGTCAATAATGGACTGGTGCAGGATGAGACGATTTGTGAAGGAGCTGAAGACTCGTCGTCTGAGCAGCATAACGGTGATGACCAAGCCGTTACCAAGCACAGCCAGGCAGGCGATGATTGTGTTCACTGCATCCTGAAGGATACTGGGATATTGCGACAAATCCTCACTTGTGCTATTCAAGGCGCCGATATCTAGCAACATTCTTCTGTGATCGTTCATAGACATTTCGAACGCTTCAGGATCTCTGCACTTTCAAGTTTGCCAAGATCTCTGCATCAAATGCTCTGAAAGGAATGGAGCTTTCACACAACTGCTGTTATTGATAAACCGAGCTAGGACACTGAACATATTGAACAAACATTTTGATCCAGACCATTTTGAACAATCAAACAAAATTTCAACTCATATGCTATAATCTGCCTGCGTATGCGATCATGATTGGACTTTCTACTTTGCTTAAAGGAGCACTTACTTAATCCAAGTCTAAAGGAATGATTTCACTGCAACGGCGTAGCCAGGGTTCTCATCTAAGGGGCCATGTTGGGGGGGGGGGGGGGGGGGTGGCCTTGCGGTTACAACGGAGGGGCGCCCGACACTTTTATCCTTGCTGAAAGTTAGACAGGTAGAATCAAAAAGGGGGGGGGGGGCTGTAGCCCATCTTCCCAAGGGGGCGCTGTTTAAAACATATGTCATGGCTACATTGAACAATCACTACCGCTATTCGCTTTCTAAGGGACGTTACAATAAACAACCACTCCTGAAAACAAAAGAGTTTTGGTAGAAAAAAATACGCACAAAATCGAGAGAAAAATGGGGCTTTATGTTCTTCCAGCTTGTCATGGTTACTCATACGGTTGTGCTTTTCTCCGGATGCCACATTTTCAGTGAGGGGCAAGTGGGGAGGGAGGGGGAACCTTTATCCCCCCCCCCGTAGCTACGCCGCTTCTTCACTTAATACAAAACATACATTGCATTTCAATGCATTTACATTTATGATCTTCAAGACGAATTGAGAGAAACAAATATCATGACCACACGTACATGTTGTGGCAAGCTAGTGAGCCATTTGTTTCAAACTCATTATTGAAAAAAAACACTTGTATAAATGCAACCATTTTTGTTTATATGCAAGCACTCACTCGTTAAGGAAGATCGTCTATGGTTATGTATCCCTCAAAACTCTTCTGATCAATCATGTGACTGCCGTCGCGGTACAACTGGCTGATATTCATGTTTTGTTGATGTAAGTGTTTGGTTGATAGGCCTATAGTGATTTGATCGGATTATTTTGAAAAAAAGTATATTTTGTGTTGGAATGGAGTTCAGTGGTCGGCAGCTGTGGCCCAACTAATATTGACAGACAGTTGTTAATAATTAAACCCGACCGCAAAACCCACACTCTATATCTTTTACTTTCGATTCATTTTATCGGTGTGATTACAATAGAAAGTACTTCTCATTGCTATACGCGAATGCATAAATCATTCCTGACAAATACAATATCTGTAATTTTAATCAATTTTATCTGCTTAATAGGTAAAATTGATTACTTTCAAATTGCTCTTGCAAAGAACCTACGTCTGGTGCGAGGCTATAGCGATCCTGTTTGCGTAGATTCAAGTTTTGCACACCCTTTGAATAAGTAAATCTATTTATTTATACAATTACGTATGTTAACAAAAAAAAAGGTTAATCTTAAATAAGGGGGCGGAAGCTCTTGTGGGGCAACCTCGTCCCCAGGGTGTCGAGCAGTACGCGCCCACCACTACCTGCTCTCTCACCCTGGTATTGGATCATTTGCATGTGCAAGATTTTTGCACACGTATGCAAATGAGGAACAGTCTGGTGCCTGGATATGCGTTACATATTAGCGTTTGCTTTTGTATGCGGTGCCTGGGGTAAAAACAGAGTCAATTCGTAGCAGCGCGAGCACGGCGTGAGTTACGAAAACACGATTTTTGAAATCAAACTGTTACGATCTTATCAAGACAACATGCAGTATCATATTTCATATTAATATGAGCAAATTGGAAAGGAAATTAGTATTTTCGAGAAGGTGTGGACGAATGATCGCGAAAACACGTATTGCACGTTGTGAATATATAGCACCAAGTACACGATAAAAATCCATTACTACCCAATGGCGGTATCCAATCAGGATACAGGAAGAAAGTTTCCTATCCAGGGTTTACTATTGGAAACGCAGTTGGAAATAAAGTAAGCACTGGGGACGAGGTTGCTTGTGAGGCACCCCCCTCCCTCGCCGGCACAGATTCACGCCTCTGCCAAGGGGTGGCACAAACACACACAAAAGTGTGTATTAGTTGACTGCAATCGGGAACCCCTTTTGTCCCTCTTTTGTTTGAACTACAACTTTTTTTTTTACGATGACCTCCCATATGTTTTTTGCACGAATCCCACTTGGGGACCGCTCGGGAATTGGGCACCCTGTTGTCCTCTGTTGCAATTTCAACGGCATATTGAGGCAATATCAACATTTTATTTTAATCTGCTTAGATGTATGTACATTACAAACAGGGGAAAGTGGAGTATAGCGGAGTGTTTAATGCGTTGACATTTTGATCAATACCAAGCTATTTTATTGGACCATCACAAAACATCACCGTTTATTGATTAGAAATGGAAATCCTCATTGTAACTAAATGGCGACACAAAGATATTTCGAATCTAAGTGGTTGATTTCTGACCACCGTAGCCTAAATACGCCTGGTGGATCGGCGTTTGACTGGCCAGCATCGATAGTACGGGTATAAGGGAGCTTTTTGAAAGGTTTAAAAAAGCCGCCCTGGTTAGTACTCAATTGCAGACAAAAAGGTGAGCCACATCTTATCTTAAAGAGGGTTATGAATCATAAGAAGGTCCCGTGTCAGCTATCAGCCTTTGTACTGAATAAAAATGTAATTAATTGCTAACATCCAACAATGTCAAACATGTTGCCACTGCAAGTGTGATTCCTAGCGGTAAAGCTGCATGTGTCACGAAGTGCATTGATAAACTCTGCCTAAATCGTTCAGTTCACTCAAAACGGAAATCTAGCTGAAAAGATTGCTGCCATAAAAAACACAATTAAAATAAAAGGGTCGTGAAAGGGGCAACGTCTTTAATCAGAGTGCGAGAATTTTTTGTCGGAAACACCACAAATGACGACTGGACACTAAATTCATCAAGTCCTCTATCGGATGCAATCGAGACAATTATCAACCTGGCTTGCTAGGTTTATTAACGCCATGGTCATCACCGCTATGCTGCTCAGACGACGAGTGTCCAGCTCCTTCACTTATTGTTTAAACCTACATCAGTCTATCATTGACTCTACTGCTGGAGCTATATATGTTCTTCTTGTACCTGATTAAATTGTTATCTTGTTCTGGACACTCACCATGACGTAGCCAGGGTTCCTACCATAGAGGGGCGAGTGTAGGGAGGCATGATGTTAAGTGTGTTACCCGATTCCTGTTAAGCCCGTTATAAACGACACCCGCTAGTATCGCACGCTGTACATTGAATCGTCTGAACTCATCTGAAGTAATGGCTGGTGCAAAACTCCTCGTCCAAAAATGAGAGTTATATTCACGCTTGGAAATACATATACCCAGTGACGTACCTGGGGAGGGGGGGGGGGCAGGGGCACCTTAACTCTCCCCGATGGAATTTTTTGACAAATATGTTTTTTTCTGTCAGTAATTATTTCAATAAATGGTTAGAGATTTCTGATATCAATCTTAAATCCCAAAAAAGAAAACCCGCTCAAAAACCACCACAATGCGCCGTGAAAATGGACATATAATATTTGCAGTATGCATAATAATGATGAGTTTTGAAAAGCGCCCCAATTTGGAAGATGGATACCAGACCCACCTCCCCCCCCCTTTTTTTGTTGATTTTACTGAGGAGGCAAGGTGTCCGGAGAACAAAACATGTCTACATTTCGTTGTGGATGTGCGGTTGCCCCCTCCCCCGACATCCAAAGCTGGATACGATACTGCATATGCCCGTGCCTCAATATCAGAAGTAAACAACGTCGTTAGAAGTAAATAGCCGGTTTGTCTTCCGTCTTTTCTCAGGAATTGTGCGACATTTTGTCAGTTTTCTTGCAACCAGACTTTTGAATAGGACAAGTAAACAGTTTTAAACATTAAACATTAGCAATTTAAGGATGATGCGCCCCTTTAAAATGTATTTGGAAGGGTTTGTTACACCCCTAGGTCCAAATGTGTTCAATTCGTTACCAGCCTTGCTGAGAGTTAATTTGCTAGATGCAGGGCGCAATTACAAAAAAAAAATAATAATAAAAATAACGATTGCGGTAAGGAATTTACCTTTGATTTAAATGCCTTGTCAAATGCCGGCTAATATGAAAACGTCTTATATTAACATTTAATGAGTTATCAGGCATATCTAGAATGTTAAAGAGAAGAAGGGAGCATGGTCTAATGATGAGTGAATTAAATAACATCGACGAAGATTGCCAAGGTGATAGCGGACGCATCTCCTAGGCAACTAAAAGAGACATCGTCATCTCAACAGTTATATTGGATGGATCAGGGTATTTTTAGCCCTTAAGCGAGCCTTGAACTCCACTCCGTTAGGCTTTGCACTCATTGGTTGTAGACGCGTGAAGAGAGTCGGTGTCACATGAAAATCCGACTCCTATGAAAATCGGACCCCTATTTCCCTAATAATTGGTTGATCCCTCGCACGTGACAGGTCACTCTCCCGAAACGATCGTAAAAATAGCATAGTATCGTACTCACGCGTGCGCAGTACTACCAAGTCCACATTTCATGGAGTCAGATATTCACGCTACACCGGACAGTGCTATCGTATAGGATTACCTTGTGCCGGCAGTGGATTGGCTAAATCCGTCCACATCTTAAACCAGACGCATGAATGGACTTCCAGTGCATAGATATGGAGTTTTAGCAATCTATTATTACCAACGTTACTAGTCATTTTTTTGCCACTACCTATATGTTATTCGTTATTACCTATATCAGTGTTGGAGGACTCGAGGCCGGCCTCGGCCTCGAGGCCGGCCTCGAGGCCGATTTTCATGGCCTTGGCCTCGGCCTTGGCCTCGGAGGTGCAATGCCTCGGCCTTGGCCTCGGCCTCGGAGCCTTCCGGCCTCGGCGAATCGGTCGAGGCCGGTTCGAGGCCGCCCATTTTGATGTGTTTTCTATTCTAATTAATTTAAATTTTTTAGCGTATCAAACCCTCGAGATTCTGCCGCAGTTGGTTCCGTGAAACGAACGCATATACAATGTACGCACAAATGAACTGGAAATGGTTGCATTGAACGTACTCACGTACGTAGCATCTTCGCCTAGCCTGCGCTTCAGCTTTCCACGTGCGTACAAGCGTTATAACTGTTACCGCGTGCTAGACTACATAAGTCTGGCACCAATCCCATCTGCGTACAATAACATGTGGTAGTAGACTAGTCTGGTTACAGTGTTGTACACAAATTTTCTCGTTTCGCCTCTGTACCCCGACCTTTAAAAATGATTTGCGGCAAGGTGCGGCAAGCTTAATCATTTCTTTTTATAGGCCACTGTTTCAGTACAAGTCTGAACTTTATGGGTACGATCGAGTGTACTAGTCCGTACCATTTTTTTTCATAAAGATATGATAAAAACAGTTACGATTTATCAAGTAGATTTTATTTTTACACGGTGATTTACATGAAAGTTCCGGCTCACACGGTAATGTTTGGCGCAAATGGTCGATATGGAAAGCGCGATTTCAGAATTCGTTTTTCCATCCAAATGAATATTAATGCAAAGTTCTGAATGAATGTTTTAATAATAGGAGTCAGTATTCCTCGTGGTACCAGAATACTTTTTTGTATTTTTAGAGTCATGTTGATACTTATTACATGTATAAGCACGGTTTGAAATTGACTAATGTTGCGTGGTTACAGATATACGGCCAAAACCTCTGGACTCCCTACCTCTTGCCATGATCTTAAAATTCTTCGAAGCCATTGGATTCAAATCGGATGATCCGAGAATTCATGGTCATTTTCATGAACTGAGTGGTATCATGCACGCATGTTCCGTGTTGCCGTGTTGTTTGGAGCGGGATCGATTGGCCATTGCCAGACTTTGTCTGGTACCGCGGTATTAACAGTGATAATGCGTGGACACTTATCCCGTTGTGTGGAGCGGGATTGGGACTATGCTTTGCCCGTGCATAACGGCGGGCCGTCTGGCATTGTCTGGTCGCATCGGCGCGCGCCTGGACAGTGCGAAGGTCGGGGGGGGGGGGTCATAACTTTTTGGTTATCATGAGTGGTAAAAACCTGATTCAATAATCAAGTTGTTGTTTATTTAATGGGGATTCCCATGATATTAAGCATTTTGATGCAAATTCCTGCGCCAGCATGCCTGAGCCATACTTCCCAAGTTCCCAGGGGGGTCGGGGGTGGGCAGGGCGTCGGCGTGGGCACGCCTTTGAATGACGCCCCCCTCCCCCCCCCCCCCCAATTGGTGTATAGGGGGGGGGGGGGCATAAAGATGCTGTAGCTTGGCTTGTTGGCTTGCTCAGAGGGTGTATATGCACTGTTTGCGTGTGTAGGACAGCGTGCATTGATCGAGCCGTGGTTATGGATGGTACCGTATGTGTGTTGTGATTGGTCACTGTATTGTCCAATGGGCGTGTGGGTGCAGTGGTGCGGAAGATTTTGCGAGGGTTTTGGATTCGTAGTGGAATGTTTGGCCAGTATACTACTGCAGTAGTGTGTTTGTTTTTAGTTTTAAAAGCCGTTTTGGGGCTATTTTTTTTGTCAAAAAATAGTTGAAACTGGTGTAGGCTTCTAAATATTTTTTATTCTCTTTCATTCGGTTGTTGTTTGAGTAAGAAACTATCTTCCTACCGTGTGCGGTATTGGAAAAACACGTTGTGTTTCGTTGTTTTGTTTACTTATTTTGTTAACACGAATGCATATTTATGTGGAGATGGTACTTTTTCTTTCCCAAATGTGGGTTGTTTATTTTGTTTGTACCATTCGATGTTGGGATTGATTTATGATTTTTGGGGAGGCTAAATTATTTTTGAACCCTTTGTGTTGGGGTTAGGTTTGTGGGTTTTTGTTTTGTTTTGTAATGTTTGGTGTAAAATGGGTATAGTTTATCCCTCTGCGGATAATTTGTATGTCCACTTAGTGTTTTATGCTTCTGTTAACATAACGTTTTGTTGTTATAACAAATAAAGATGATGTTAGTTTCCGTATGCGGAAATATGGTTGTTGGTTTTCCGAATTGGGGTGTATATGTGGTGTAACGGTGAGATATTGTGTCTCGTGTGTGGCAGACTGATTGTTACAAGTCTGTGGATGTACTGAAAGTACTGAGAAATAGAGATAGAAGCAACCTGAAGATACCACACTTGTTAATCAAGACGGTATTCTCGGGCAGTTGTTGATGGCCATCGAACCACAATACCCCGGGGTGGGGCAAGGAGCATTACATAGAAGTTTGGAAAAGGGATGGCACTATCCCATTCAGTGACACTTCTTCTCTGGTGACTTGTATGGCTTAATATGGATTTTAAGCATGACTTAGTCTTTGCCGATTGTATCTGATTGAAATGTAGAGTGGGCGGACTTAAGAGATTAAGTGACTACGATAGGTTGGGTAATCAAATGTGATTAAAGGTGCGAGCAGAGGATTATGTTCGCAAATTTTCTTGTTAGCAATAGCATGCTTTCTTGCCTTGCTGTTTGGGCACTCTTCAGTTGCAGATTGGTGATTCAAAAAAGATTCGAAGCTGACTCGCGGAAAAGTTGTGCTTGGGATTGGTTATATGTTCCAATCAGATTTCGTAGCATTCGAGTGTTTCGAGTACAGCCATATGATTTCAGTTGGTTCCGATTTGTTCCTCTAATCAGGAGAGCAATATGTTGCGGGTTTTGTCAGGTTCGGTCGGTTCTTCGAAAAAGCCGGAGTTTGTTGGGAGTGGGTTTAGCTCTTGATTTTGCTGTCGTAGTTTCTCCCGGATGTTTTGGCGGCTTTTCTGAAGGCAATGAATTGGGATTTCGGAAATGTTTCCGTAGAGTAGTTTATTACCTTGGATTATGTTCCAGTGCTTGTTTATGGCTCAATTTATGTCAAGGTGTGTTATGGCTGGGTTGTATGTAGTGGTGTAGACAGGTGGAGTCTATTTTGATTTTTCCTTCATCCTACAATTTAATGTGTTAAACTTGTGTGCAAGTTTAAATTGAGTGGCTTCCGGGGTTTTTCTAGCGTTTCTCTAGAAGTTGATTTCGGATGCCAATTGGAGGGTGGTTTGAAAGAATGGTTTTAGGGCGTTTGTTACGCATTAGTGATGTACATTTTAGTCTTCGGTTGAAGATACATTATTGATGTTGCTTACGAGTGATTTGCGGCTTGGTTTAGCAGAAGCAGGTACATGTATGACATTGAGACCTTGTCCAAAAAGTAATTATTTCGGGGAGATAGTTTTGCTTTTGATAGGTATGTTATGAAGGCTTCATAATGTTCTGCTCATGAGCGCAAATGATTGGATTTGGCTCAATTGGTTTTAGATTTTCATTCACCAGATAAGCGGTTTGGTTTTGGTTGTTTCGTGATCTCTTAGTTTCTTTGTTGAATGTTTCATCTTGCAATGATTTCCTGTGAAAGTTTTTGTTTGAATATAACGGATAAGGTATAGATTGAGTTATATTTCAGGTATTATAACGATGTTATAATGGATGGAGGATGGCAGGATATCTCTTTTGAGAAGATGGGGTGGTCTTGAGAAAGACCGTTTGGTTTGGAGATCAATGAAGATGCTGTAGCTTGGCTTGTTGGCTTGCTCTGAGGGTGTATATGCACTGTTTGCGTGCGTAGAGCCGTGCATTGAGCCGTGGTTGTTGATGGTACCGTATGTGTGTTGTAATTGGTCAGCTAGCGTATTGTCCAATGGGCGTGTGGGTGCAGTGGTGCGGAAAGCCTTGCGAAGGTTTTGAATTCGTAGTGGAATTTTTGGCCAGTAGTGTCTTTGTTTTTAGTTTTAAAAGCCGTTTTTTGGTTATTTTCTTTGCCACAATATAGGTGAAACTTGTGTTTTTGTTGTTGGTTTTTTTAGATGTTTGCAAATGTTGTATCTTGCCTTTAAACCAGATGCATAAATGGACTTCCAGTGCATAGAAATGGAGTTTTGGCGATCTAGCACCACCGTCACTGGTCATTATTTTGTTTGCCACTACCTATATGTTATTCGTTATTACCTATATGTTTTAATCATCCACGGGATGATAATTTATCATCAAAAGGATTGTTGTTTATTTTCTGAAATATATTGGAGATTTGTGAGTCACTTGATCACAAACCGTTGACTTTTGCTACCAATAAATCTGGCCTTGTTTATAACGGGGTGAATACGTTTCCTTATAACTTCTGAAAGTGAAATCTCTAATATCAACCACGTTAAATGTGGTTGATATCAACAAATTGTGTTATCGAAACAGATAGGCCTACATTTAGCTGGTGAGGCTATGTGTCAGTGTCTTCTGTGCAGTGATAGTATGCATTAAAACTGGCTGGAAATTCAGTTGCATTCCATAACACTGACAATACCGATTGTGTCGTCGTGCTGTTGAAACCAGACAGTCCTCAACATGGCTTCGAATACAATCGTGTTTGTACTCGTGATATTGGGTGAGTATCGGAGTATACTGTTGACTATTCTTGTATTGTTTCTGGCAGCACTGCAGTTAAAGTGTGGGATGCGGGTTGCGACAACCACTGCGTTTATTCGCTGACTAATATTTTAAAACTAGTAAGATGGGGCGACAAAAAAACAATGTCATGCTAGCTTAATCTTCTGAATGTGGGCCAATTCCTGCACCTCCATTGCCTGAGCATTCAGAAGAAATCATCCTGGACTTCTCAATTTCCCAGCGGGTCGAGGGGGGAGCAGGGCGTTGGCGTGGGCACGCCTTAGAATGACCCCCCCTCTTCCCCCATTGGCGTTTCCAGAGGGGGAGGGGCGCCTTACCCCTACCCCCACCCCCACCCCCCGCGGATGTTTTGGAAAATTATTTTGGCTCTAAGTGTTTACTCAAATAGTTAGAGAGTTCTGACATCACCCCCCAAAATATAACCAGCTCAAGAACAATGCGCCGTGAAAATCGGCATTTATTCACCAGTATGCATAATAATGGCAAATTTTGAAGACCACCCGATTTGAAGATGGGAACCAGCCCCCACCCCCTTTTGATTTAACGGAGGCCAAGTGTACGGAGAAAAAATAATGTCTACATTTGGACGCGGATGTGCGGTTGCCCCCCCCCCCCCCCCACAACCAAAACCAAAAGCTTGATACCCTACTGCAACAACAACAACAACAACAACCCCCCCCCCCCCTCTTTAACTCGTTCACCGTTTTCGCCCCTGCCCTGGTAGGAAAAATTCTGCTTTTATTATGAGACAAGCAGCCCGATATGACCACTTCACGAGATTAGTGTCTTGCTATAGGTCGATATTTTTTTCTCGGTTTGTTGGATGGCGTTGACAATTTGTTCGTACGCCTATGTGTGACGTCGTCAATCTTTGTCATAGATTGAGTGGGATTTCTCCAGAAAGCCACTCCAAGACATAATCACTCTTACTAATTGTTCAAAAATAATTTATGAATACATTTATTTGTTGTTTTGTTTTGGACAGGTTTGTTTTTGTCCCAGTGTCATTGTCCATGGGTCAGAACAGGCAATCCTGGAGGCCACAAATCGGAAGGTAAGCGAAACTGAAACAAACGAATGGGCCGTACCGTGGTCTATTCAGCTTGTAAGCCTAGTTCTCTCATTGTAAAATATGTAACCGTCCCACCGACCGACCGGTTGATTGGTGAAGGGGTACATGATATGTACATGTATATAAACTATGAGACGTCCCTCTTTAGGAAAAACAATTGCAAAGTGCACTTGGTTTTTTTTTAAGTTTATAATGTTTCATGCTTCTCCTGACAACTGATGGCGATGTTGCTTGATGTCCGTCACTTCAGGAATTAACACACTATTCAGATTAAGGGTTTTTCTCTTCAAACTGTGAACCCAAATTTCAGCTTATTGAAAACGTGTGCACAACCTTTTTTTCATTGTATGTAACTAGGATTATACTGAAACAACAACGAACCGTTGAATGCAGAAAACTAGTCACAGCCTACCCTTAAAATTCTGGGGATTTGTTACGCTAAAGCAGATGTAAAACTGAAGTTCCTCCGGGAATAATATCGCAGGTTTGATCATGAATATAACGTGCATTTGCATAAAACCAATAGGCACCAAACGCGTTCAAACTGCAACATGAAGATTAACAATATAGGCACCAAACGCGTTTAGAAAGCAATATGAAGATTAACAATAATATTAAAGGAACACAAAGTTATATTTCAAGGGATACATTTAAACAGAATTCCATTATGAGGGCCCTTGATGTCAGCCGGGCAGTGCTGTCGTTTAGGCTTATCCCATAACGTTAAAGAATGGCCTAAATCTCGTCCATTGTTTGATGGACCAGAGGCATGAACAGACTTATTTTTTAAGTCATCGTTAATGAGGGTGAACTCCGATCAGTGCAAGGCACTGCTTTCCATGGAGGCCCTCAAGTAAATGAGAACTATGAGACCCATTATGTAGCACCTTTATAAGGATTTACAAGGTACTACAGCGCATATTGCAGCCACTGCCAGGAACACCGGGGCAATCCCTTCTCTCAGCGATAAGTGTAACTGGGTTCTTTAACGTGCATTACACAGCACACGGGACATACGGCTTTGTGTCCCATCCGAAGGACGAAGCAATAATGGTAAAGTGCCTTGCTCAAGAGCACACGCACCATGTTCCCACGATCAGGATTCGAACCCATGTACCACGGCACACGAGTCGCACATCGTAACCATTGGACCACAGCACCATTTGAGTGAAAAGCCATTAACAAGATGAATTTGCATCGGGGTCGATGTAAATTAGGTTTTGCCCTTCACCGACATAGTGAATAGCCAATCATCTAGAGTGGGTGGAGTACTCGCGTCAGCATTTGCCCTAACGATGACAGTGGAAAGGGCTATATTTGCCTAGAAAACAAGAGTTAAAAAATGAACCCAATAAAACCTTTCTGTGGCAGCTTTTTTGTTTATTTTCAATTAATCACCAACAAATACAAGTAATATTCTATCAAATTCTATGCATACATGTATACTTCGATTAATCATGCCCCCCCCCCCAAAAAAAGCAAACAAACTGACATCCTACTTCCATGTTTAATTATCCATTCCATTAAAGGTTCTTGCGAATTGTACCTAACCAGGAACGTATCAGCCCTTGTCGAAGGAATACCTGTTCAATTCGCCTGTTCTGTTGGGCGATATTGTAAGCGCGATGGACGCATACGTGTGTTCCTCAACGGCAGCCCAACAGATGAACCAATAAGCGACGCCTCGACCAGCAACATGAGCTTTGTTCCTGACAGAAACTACTCGGGGTTGCTGCTGGAATGCATGTATCTTGACGGTGGTCTACAATCATTGGTAAAGAGCATCACATTGGATGTGACATGTGAGTCTGACGGGTTGTTCATTAAGTGGTAGGCCTACTACAAGAGCATTTGCCAGGTTTTGAGACTGCGTCATTAAAAGCAAATGCAAAATGTTATGACACCGATGAAAACTGTTTAACAAATGTGCGAGTACGAATGTATTGTGAACAGGTTTCAGATGCCGAGGTTCGATTCCCCGACCATGCATTGGTCAGTGTTCCCCGACCCTGCATGTTCCATTGGTCATTGTACAAAATTCGTTTATTATTGCAGCACCCCAAGCACAAGACACATTACAAAGTGAACCTTTATACAATAAATTAATTAACACTTTATACAATTTATGGGTGACTGGTCATTCAATTTAGTGCAACACAACCAAAACAGGAGTTGTGAGCTATTCCTGGCACATATAAAAGAATAACATGAAACAAAACAGAAACCGAATCCCATTCAATACAAGGTTATATAACCATGGAAATGCAAATCATGTCAGTAAAATGGAAAAAGCACTGCATCCTGTACACCAAGACATACACAGAGATAGGTGTACAGCTTCATTGACAGTTGTGCCAACAACAAGACATGTCAGCAGCCATTTTGTGCTTCACAGAATCAAATTTTCACCACCGCCACCCCACCGTCCAATCACACAATACAAAATTATTACATTACAATCAGCATAACTGGGGGGGGGAGGAGTTCTTAAGCATTTAACAAGCTGTACATTTATAACAAGTAGCAAAGTAGAGAGAAGAAAGGCTAGAAAAAGATTAATGTTAATAATTGTTCGAGTTGCATTAAGTATGAGATTAAAGTGAATGATTGATAAAGGAAAAGTAAAATGTATTATGAATAAAACTAACGACAATAATTACTTCAATTAAACCGTTTGGGTAGTTGACAAAGCATAACGTCAACAGGTCTTTAAAGGGGCACTAGGTCCTGAAATCCCCCCCCCAAAAAAAAAAATCATGTTTTGGATCTTTTACTTATCCTATTTTAAACACCTGGTTCAAAGGAAACTAACCTAATGTCTTACCGTTCCCGAGAAAAGACGAACAAACCTCGGTTGTTTTCGTCGGACACGACGGAGTACGAAACACTTTTCTTGTCGTTTTCACTTTCAGTCAATGTACGTACGATATGTACATACACAGCACCGTTCTCGCGCACAGCGCGCGGCGACCAATCACCAACGCACAAAATATGGTTTGTTTCTTACATGTCCGCAAAAGGCGAACACTATACGGATGAAATCACAACTAGCATCCAAACAGCTCGAATGTTTGGGGTCGCAAAAGTGGACCCCAAAATTCGTTCACGAACGCATAATACAGAAATAACTAAAAAACGACCGGTTTTGAAAGGATAGTTGTGTGGATGTTTATATCCTACTTTTAAATGTTCTTTTAGAATAACATCATTTCGTTCAAAGCGCGTTTTGTAGCCCAATTGGGCTATTCTAGGACCCAGTGTCCCTTTAAGCAATGACAACTGTCATCTGATATTTTCTAACCAACGAGATAGTTAACAATGGACAGTTTTGTTTCTTTCTTTATAAGTTCCACCCAAACGAGTCGCTGTGAGTAGCAGCTCAATGAACTGCAACCGAACCTGCCGTGCAGAACTCATTCCATGGCAAACCTACGAGTTCAAATGTCGATCAGTTGACTCTAATCCACCCTGCACATTCAACTGGACACTCGAAGATCCCGATGGACGCGCCCCCGCTATTACTCCTGAAAATGCGACCTGGGTGGTGAGCAAAACTCTTGATGCCGGATGGGACGCGACCAGCAGTGTCAGGCTGGAGGCTCTGCCGAACTACCACCGCAGAATCATGCGCTGTAGCGTGTTGCATCCAAACAACCTGACCGTCTGTCGTTTAGGCTTATCCCATAACGTTAAAGAATGGCCTAAATCTCGTCCATTGTTTGATGGACCAGAGGCATGAACAGACTTATTTTTTAAGTCATCGTTAATGAGGGTGAACTCCGATCAGTGCAAGGCACTGCTTTCCATGGAGGCCCTCAAGTAAATGAGAACTATGAGACCCATTATGTAGCACCTTTATAAGGATTTACAAGGTACTACAGCGCATATTGCAGCCACTGCCAGGAACACCGGGGCAATCCCTTCTCTCAGCGATAAGTGTAACTGGGTTCTTTAACGTGCATTACACAGCACACGGGACATACGGCTTTGTGTCCCATCCGAAGGACGAAGCAATAATGGTAAAGTGCCTTGCTCAAGAGCACACGCACCATGTTCCCACGATCAGGATTCGAACCCATGTACCACGGCACACGAGTCGCACATCGTAACCATTGGACCACAGCACCATTTGAGTGAAAAGCCATTAACAAGATGAATTTGCATCGGGGTCGATGTAAATTAGGTTTTGCCCTTCACCGACATAGTGAATAGCCAATCATCTAGAGTGGGTGGAGTACTCGCGTCAGCATTTGCCCTAACGATGACAGTGGAAAGGGCTATATTTGCCTAGAAAACAAGAGTTAAAAAATGAACCCAATAAAACCTTTCTGTGGCAGCTTTTTTGTTTATTTTCAATTAATCACCAACAAATACAAGTAATATTCTATCAAATTCTATGCATACATGTATACTTCGATTAATCATGCCCCCCCCCCAAAAAAAAGCAAACAAACTGACATCCTACTTCCATGTTTAATTATCCATTCCATTAAAGGTTCTTGCGAATTGTACCTAACCAGGAACGTATCAGCCCTTGTCGAAGGAATACCTGTTCAATTCGCCTGTTCTGTTGGGCGATATTGTAAGCGCGATGGACGCATACGTGTGTTCCTCAACGGCAGCCCAACAGATGAACCAAACACTTTTCTTGTCGTTTTCACTTTCAGTCAATGTACGTACGATATGTACATACACAGCACCGTTCTCGCGCACAGCGCGCGGCGACCAATCACCAACGCACAAAATATGGTTTGTTTCTTACATGTCCGCAAAAGGCGAACACTATACGGATGAAATCACAACTAGCATCAAAACAGCTCGAATGTTTGGGGTCGCAAAAGTGGACCCCAAAATTCGTTCACGAACGCATAATACAGAAATAACTAAAAAACGACCGGTTTTGAAAGGATAGTTGTGTGGATGTTTATATCCTACTTTTAAATGTTCTTTTAGAATAACATCATTTCGTTCAAAGCGCGTTTTGTAGCCCAATTGGGCTATTCTAGGACCCAGTGTCCCTTTAAGCAATGACAACTGTCATCTGATATTTTCTAACCAACGAGATAGTTAACAATGGACAGTTTTGTTTCTTTCTTTATAAGTTCCACCCAAACGAGTCGCTGTGAGTAGCAGCTCAATGAACTGCAACCGAACCTGCCGTGCAGAACTCATTCCATGGCAAACCTACGAGTTCAAATGTCGATCAGTTGACTCTTATCCACCCTGCACATTCAACTGGACACTCGAAGATCCCGATGGACGCGCCCCCGCTATTACTCCTGAAAATGCGACCTGGGTGGTGAGCAAAACTCTTGATGCCGGATGGGACGCGACCAGCAGTGTCAGGCTGGAGGCTCTGCCGAACTACCACCGCAGAATCATGCGCTGTAGCGTGTTGCATCCAAACAACCTGACCGTCTTCAGAGAAATCAGTCAAGTGCTACTTGTAAATACAGGTAACCTATGAGTGGTGTACGTATACATGGTGGTGCAAAAAGTAGGAAACACTTTAGACAAGATATTTTCATCCTACACTTACTTAACTTATTTGAACTGATTTTTTTTGGTATAATTTAGAGATGTAAAGCTCTTCAACCACACATGGTGGAAAAAAATCGCTAAAATCATCCAGAGGGCAATTAGCCTTGTGTCCGCTTTGCACCTCTCTCACTGACTGACACACTGACATAGACTTAACAGTCCTGAATCCTCCAATTTCAATATGATTTTGCACACCCCCTATGGAGTTAGGCTTGTCACTTGTGAACCGGACAGTACTGTCGTTTACCTCGTATAGGCCTATTCCAGCAAATGGGCTAACGTCGGCTTCTTCAACAATATGGTTGCGAACGGCGATTGCTAAAGGTTACGTAACACTTTTATTTTTTTTATTGAAACGACATGTACACAGACATGTTTACGTTGGCGGGTGAAATCTTTGAAAATTAATTTCTCCCGTTTGGAAGACCGTATCTGCATGCAACTTTTAGGATTTATTTCCCCTATAATGATTCAAGCATGTGCTAAAATTCGTTGTGATATGTTCATTACTTTTTGTTGAAATTGGAAAAATAGGCCTCGCTACGTGCAATTTTGAAATTGTAACACTGGCGTGCGCAATATCTATCAATCTTTTCAAGCCTCACAAATATTAATGAGGTTCCTATCCATTACAGTGTGCAGTAAACAATGGGATAAAAGCCTCCTTCACGAGTTGTTAATTAACAAATTCACCCTTTTTGCCGGCTTCCATTGGTCGATACCGAGACCCACGCCATGTCACGCCGAGTTACGCTAATGAATATGCTAATCTACCATACGTTATTGTGTTGCTTGGCCAAAATCGGTAAGCCGTAGCGCCTACGGCGCTTTGCTGTACAATGCACATGGGTTGGGTCGGCAAATAATTTATTTGATCCTCTTCGTAATTTTCCTTGAGATGGTTCAAGCTGTAACATTAACGTCTGCAACATCAGATTAAGCTGAAATTCGGAATATACTCAGTTGATATAAGTGTTCAACTACTCGTGAAATAACAACTGGGATACATTCCTAGAAATTGGGATAAATACATACATTTGGGGAAGTCTTCGAACGATTTCTTCCAGACTTGAAGGTCAGCTTTGACAGTAACCAGTATTGGCGTTTCGGCATCGATGACGGGATTTTTTTTTTTCACTGACATAAAGTTAAGAATTTCTTCTTGAATTAGAATGAAACATTTCAATCACACAAAGCATATTTACTGAGAAACACAACGTTCAAAAGGCTATGTTTCGGGGGGCTCACGAATTTCCATGCTCTGTTACCGCGTCTTAGTACGTAATGGGATTAGCTTTCCTTGACAACGACCGACGCTTTGCCATTCGCAACCATATGGCTGTGTTGTGTACGAAAAGACTTCCAGTGAATAGCCATTCTGATTCAATTGACTGGGACCAGCTGCTGTTAATAGGCTGCCTAGTCTTGATTTTTAATTAGTACAAGAGTACTTTTGAGCATTCTCACGTTACACCGCAACTAAAGCAACTGCTCAAAGTACATTTGAGGCAATCCAAAACTGCAGCCTCACAATAGCCATGTTTATTTTGATATTTCACATTTTTTAAACGTTCTTCAAACAATTTCGGAAAGTTCTTAGCAGTATAGTTGGGATGTAACAATGATGGTCAGAGCATGCTGGCTAGCACCTCGAGTGAACAGCTCTGCTTCTTCATAAAACCTCCGGTTCTAAAAGTAGTTATCTTTTACTCTAGAAGTTGTTGTTGTTGTCTCTACTGCCGGATCTCCCGGCATCGCCACTATACTCATCGTCGGCTGCAGCCTCGAACTACTAGCAGCACTCTGCATCCTCGCATATGCCATAATCATAAACTACGTGTGTGCGCGTAAGACGGAGAAGAGGGGTACTACCCCTCCCGAACCAGACCAATCATCGGCTGTTCAGGGAGAGGTAGGTCTCCACCTGACCATTTTGGTCGTGTTCCCTGAATGTATTTATATAAATTGTGAACTGTTGAATGGGATAATGCCAGAGTATTAAATAGTTTAATGGGATGGTGCCAGACTTTTAAATAGTGTGGCGCCATCCCATTCAACAATTGTATTAAATTACAAAAAAAAATCACCCTAAAAGGGCCGGGTTATTTTAATCATATCTCAGCGGGGAGGGGGGGGGGGGAACGGATTCCCCCTAAGATGTCGGCCAACGAGTGAAATTTTGAAACTTGGTACATGCATACAACAACTCATCACAAACATACCCAAGAACTGTCATGACTATAGGTCAAAGGATTTAGAAATTATGGCTAATTAATTATTCATATTCATGAATGGTAATTCTGCTCTGTGTACACTACGTATATGGGAAAATTCAGTTTTACGCGCCGGACGGATTCCGCCCCGGCCCCTTTAGAATTAATCGAAGCTAAACTGCATAAATCTTATGTATTCTAGCCTCACTTTTATCGTCTGTTTTAATGTTGCTTAAAAAGTGATGGCATATTTAATCAACAATTTTATGTCATTGTTTTTTTTTTTATTTGTAAGTTCCAAAAATGAAGATTTTACCTCGCTTCCAATTTAATAACGCCCATTGCACCACAACCAATTGCATTCCTATCCGCTGTATCCAAAACTATGCAAACCAGACCCAACCCAAACCATTTTTCCCATCCCATCCACCAAACCCATTCCATCCCAACCAAACCCAAACCCGACCCAATTTGCCAACCCTAATCAACCCTAAGCTAATCCAGCATATTCAACCTAACCCTAACCAATCCCAACCCAAAATGTCTAATTGAACCATCCCTTATAACACCTCTAGCCAGCCCATTCAACCCCACCTTACCCCACGCTAACCAAGCCAAACCCATTGCATCCTTACCCTAAACAACCTAGCCCAGACTCCTTTACCCAAACCAACCAAACCAAACCAAATGTAATTTCAGTCATTTTCATCTCTCAGTGTGACCTGCCTGTTGATGAGATCGACGACATCTCATTAGCCGAGGACCATGCCCAAAAGGTTCGAAGCTTTAAACCAGATCGCATCACCGTTCTCCACAAACTTGGCGAAGGAGCGTTTTGCGTGATTTACAAGGGAATTGCTGACGGTATCACACAGGAGGGCAGGCAAGACACGGTAGCTGTAAAAATGCTGAAAGGTGGGTTGAGGCATAGAAAAGCCGCACACGCGTTTACACTATCATATGCAAACTTGGGTAAAAACTAGCCATCATCTTCTTCCTCCCGAAAATTATTACTGAAAAACTCATTCTGAGAATTATCAATCGTAGTTCTATTCAGTTTATTTCTCAAAATAGGGTTTTCGGCATACAGTTTTTAGGGAAGGTTCCTATTTGTTTTGTTCAGATAGTCGATCGGGATCCATTTTAACTTAGTTTTTTTTCAGGCAATGAAAGCAATTACAGTTAAGTTCCAATAAGTTCCACTGCGCTTTTTAGGGATAGTGATAACAAAAGAACAAGAAACACAAATCGGTTTTTCAGGGTGGTTATAGGGAACCTCACGTGAAATATTTAACGGGGGATGAAACCTACAGAATCGGGCGTACACTCGAAATAGGTGCCGTGGAACCAATAACAGTTGAGTTCCAATAAGTTCCACGGCGCTTATTAGGCTGCTTCACGCATGCTGGTAATCGTTTATAATCCACGTCACCAGCGAGCCGGGAGACAAGGAAGATGGCGTCCAATGTCCTCCACTCTTCTTTGTTACCGTCGAGGGGTACATTAATATGCATAGACTCCATGAGGATCCACATGATGCACCAGCTGGCAGTCAAGCGCGGATCCAGAACACAATTTTTTGGGGGGCAAAAAAAATTGTGTCTCCCAAAAAGTGGGTCAAAAAAATACGTCGTGGGGTTCGGGGCCCGCTTAAGGGCCCCGAATTTTTTTTGGATTCTCGATGCTCTGTGGTGCGATCTGATTTCTGACCACTTTAGCCAATGTTTTTTGAGGAAAAGATGGTGGTGTACTCATTGCCTGCCTTTATTGCGACGTCACATAAAAAAACCCAATTGGTTTCGGGGGTTTTTTTGGGGGGGGGGCGGGGCTGGCAGTCATGATGCACATGATGCACCTTTGTAGGCCTATAAGCACTACATTTCCTAACTGCATGGTCTGATAAGCGTGCTTATTTCGTTTTCTAAACTTGACTTTTCGCCCCCCCCCCTGCCCTACTTTAGCATGGGTACCCGGGTCCAGCGAAGTAATTAATTTCATGAAGGAATTGAACATCTGCAGAACACTGGAGGAACACCCGTATGTCATAAGGACCCTTGGGTGCTGCTTGGAACAAGGTAAGAACAAATCCAGTGAGGTTCTTCCAAAATGCCATAATTGTAACGGCAACACGGTCAATCAAAGATCGTATGCGCACGGGTTCTCCGAGCAACCCCCATAAATATGGGGGTTGCTCAAAATGCTGTTTACAGCTTTGTGCAAGGATGACAGTTGACAGCATGACAACTGCATCGGTTTCAATTGAAAAGTAGTGCCCCTACAGCCCAGGGTGAGTCAAAAAAGGCGGAACCCAAACCCAAAAAATTAGATTTCATAATAAAAAATTATGTAGCACCAAAAATAATAATGACTGAAAAACCAATTTCTTAAGCTTCTATTAGATTAAGAGATACTAAAATTGGTTTATCAGTTCAAAGAATATCACCGTTTAAACAAAATGACCCTTAAACCTGTCTCGTCCAAAAAAAAATGGTATTTCAAGAATCGTCGTCACAATTGTCTTCAAACATCACCAGTAATAAAGTCTCAGTTTTAACGTTTAGAAAGCCCGTCTTTAAAAATAAAGGATAATATTACAAATCATATTGTTTGCCTAACCAGGGTCGTTAATAAACAATAGTTGATGACAGTTGTTGAAACAAGTATTCAGTGTCATTTTCTTTGTTGTTCCAAACAGTCTAAACACACAATAAATTGCTTTTTGGGGGGACGAGACAGATTTTAGGGTTATTGCGTTTAAATGATGATATTTCTTTGAACGGATTTCAGTAATGTTTTCATCTAAAAGAAGTTTAAATGAAACTGTCGTTCCAGTCAATATTTTTTTTGTGCTACATATTTTCTAAATATGAAATACATTTTTGGGGGTTTGGGTTCCGCTTTTTCGACTCACCCTGTATAGTTGCCCGAGAAAAATTCAGCGTCCGTCTACTCAGCTAAACTTGTTTCACCCACAACTATTTGAAATTCCAGCTTTGACTTCAAGAAGATGTGAAAGCTTTGTTGAAAACTTGCGTTCAGAATGTTCTCCTAAAAATATGTGAGGCGAGCTGCATGGCTCCGATGCAATGCTAACTATGAGGCATTAAATCTTCGCTGAAGTATTCGCTGACGTATTTGCGGTGATATTTTTTTAGAGCCCTACTGTCTGATTTTCGAGTACGCGCCAAACGGAAACCTAGCGAATTTCCTGAAGGAGAAGAAGCGAGAATGGAGGGACAAATCTCATATCGCACCGATCAGCTCCGATCAGATCATCAAGTTTGCCTGTCAGATTGCCAGCGGCATGCATTATTTGTCGTCAATGAAGGTGGGTTGGAAGACCAGACTGCTGGATTAATTTGAAATATGTACTTTCTGATATATAAGTGTCTTTGAAAGTAAGACTAATACTGACATTGAGGGCGGTATACCATTCAAGCAGTATGATCACCATTTATCTCCCTTTATACAGACTGTTGAATAGAATTAATGGAGATCAAAGCGCGCGTACTGCTGAGGGTTGTCCAACAACTTTGTTACCCCATGACGCAAGTGAATTTTTTTTCATAAAGTGTCTTCCCAATGATCTATAATACGGACTTTTGAGGGGAAGGGAGATTGCAGAAATGCTGCTCTGCTGGCTTTAAAGCTAATAGGCCAATCATCGTGCTGCAATAGAAGCCATTCCAGTTATAAAAATCAATGACTTTAACCCCATATTATAGTAAGCCATTTTAAATATTCCAAGCCCTCAAAAACCCTCGCGAGCTCTTACCGTATAGATGGAACCCTGTTATAAAGATTCATCTAAAACGCAAATTAATTACCATCTCCCCTGCACATCATATGGAATACCCAGGCCGGCTCTAGCAAAGTACATCAAAGGAACGTCCCATAATATTTCCATTCCAAAATGCATAATGGCCGTGATGTCTGCTATTAATATGTGGCCTTTTCTTGTGAAATACATAATCAATTTACATTTCCATTCTTTAAATTCAGTACAGGGCTTTTAGATGTATGCAGCCTTTTAGATGTATGCAGCCTTATTTTAAAGCCTGTTTCTTTCTTTTTTTGAGAATAATTTTTTAACCCTGCGCAGAGTGACCTGCTACCCTTTGGGCCCCAGGTAACCGAATTTTTCGGAAAAAAAATGAGGGCTAATAACGTTCACCTCCTATCTAATCCTCATTCAACCCTTGCCAAATCAGCTGTGGTTCAATGAACTTTGCAGCCAGTGCTACACCCAGGCCGTGTCAACAAACTTTCGACCAGGCCTCCTGCCAAGTCTCATTGAAAATCAACAAAGACCTGTAACTTGACACAGTCATCTCCCTTCATAACTGCATACCACAGCCGCCAGTCAATTATCTTTCCAGCGCACTGTCTGGCAACTGTCTGGACACTGTCTGGCACGTGGCTTTGTGTTGTATTGCTATGAATAGGGTCTTGCGTAGTGCGGGAAAGTACCTGCTGCCCAGAGGGCAGTAGTTGACAAGTTGCTGTAAAGTTTATTTGTAAACGCTGCGCAGGGTTAAGCAAATGCAAGCCAGCAATACTATGGTAAAACATGTTAAGTCCAAGTCATCTAACCAACTGTTCCCCTCTATCAGATCATCCACAGGGATTTGGCCGCTCACAACATCCTCCTGGGCGAGGATCTGATGTGTAAAGTTTCAGATTTCGGCTTCTCTCGTGACATCATAGCCAAGGAATTCTACCAGATGTCCTCATCTGTGAGTCATTGATAAAAAAAAACGAATCGAAAAACAAAATGCAGATCTTGTATTTGTCCAAATTTCCAATTGAATGTTATGAAATGTAATGAAATATGCCCACACTGACAACAAGGCAGTGTTGACTGAAAACTTCACAAACACACAAACATACAAATGAGTATTTGCCTGCCATCGGGAATCCCGTACTTTTAAGATCCCCCTTATGTTTTGAACACAACGCCAAATTGGGGACCCTTCGGGAATTGGGGACTTTATTGTCCTCTGTTCAAGTGTTCATCGTCCCCTATTGAATTCAAAAATAAACTCACTAGCATGTTTACGTTACATACCTAGTGTGGACATTCCTTTGTTTTCGTGTAGTTAAGAAAAACCTCTGATAAAAAAATTGTTTTACTCACACTGTAAAAACTCTTTCAATCCAAATGTATTTTGCTATGATTCCCTTTAATGTTTCTTTTCATTTTCCCACGGATAAACCCAACCCCAAGATGCCTCTAAAACTATTTTCCAGAGAGGGAGAAACATTGTGTGGACGTGGGCAAGTCCACACAACGGCGCTGCTACCTGGTTTATGTGGACCTCTCTTGCTCGGAAGTCCACACAGTTAGTGTTTGTACACTAACTTTTTTAAGAAGATTTCCCATATGTTTTGTACACATCGCCAAATTGGAGACCTTCGGGAATTGGGGACCCTATTGTCCTCTTTTGTTTAACATCCCCTATTGAATGCAGAAACAAACACACACGGACAACCGAATGCAGGATAGGTGGTATCAATATTTGCAAAAGGAATCGGAGTGTTTGTTTTGTGTGTTTCTTTTTCTCACACTCGTCATTGTATTTTTGCTCGTCCTACAGTGCCAGCCAATTGTTTCTGACTGACTCACAGACTCACCGACTGACTGTTTCGTGTCAGCCGGGCAGTACTATCTTATAGGATTACATGAAAATGCAAATGAATGGGCTAAATCTCTGTCTGATTGTGTAGACGACGACGAAAACGTTTAGAGAATACCCATTCTGGACCAATTGAATGTAATTGTGTGTACCCAAGAAACAGGTTGATGTGCTTCCTTTATTTCTATTTGGGACAGGGGGCTGTTCCTCTTCGTTGGATGGCTCTCGAATCAATCGTCGACAATATCTACACCAGCAAGTCCGACGTCTGGTCCTACGGAATCTTGTTATGGGAGATGGTTACAATGGGTGAATGTCAAATTTTGCTTCGAAAATGAAATTTCCTTCCTATGCCTCCATCGGACAGATCCTCCTTTCCCCAACAAAAAATCTCAATGAACTGGCCAACTGGTTCTGTCATCAACATCCCAGATGTTTTCCTTCAATTTACATTATATTTGCATGTCAGTAGAGGATTGTACGTGAAACTATGAAACGGTCATGTACTGACGAGTATAGTCAACCTTGATTCTATCTGTAAAAAAATAAACAAATGAACAACATTTGTTGTTGTTACAGGGACCCATCCTTACCCTGGGATCGAGGTCGAAGATATAATTGATGCCTTAAAAAATGGCAGGCGTTTGCCCCAGCCCTCTCATTGTGGTGATAAACTGTAAGTAGAATCACTACCTATACACTGTAATAATGGTGCTTAGCTCTTAAACACTTTTCTTGCACCCACTTTTCACATGAGACACGTTTTGCACAGGATGAAAGCCTGATAGTGCCAATAATAATAACTTATAAAAAGTCAAATATATATTGAAATGTTCGTTTTTCGTTGACAGATCATAATGGAAGTGTGATAAAAGTGTGCATTAAGCCTATCATTTGACTTTAAGCAAAGTCGTTTTTATCTACTTTTAAAATGTATCCTTGATGGTACTAATGGGCTTTTGTGCGTGCCTAAACATGTCAAAACATTCACGAATCGAAACGTGTCGTGGATTTAAACATTTTAAAACGTGGGTACAAAAAGAAAATGCGTTTAAAACTCTAAACACTGTTTTTACATTGTTATGAAGAATGTTACGTTTGGGTTTGTCGTTTTTCCATAAAATTATGTAAATTCGACATGAATTTCGCTATCTCTGTGCTCATTTAAAAACTGAAACCTTATCGTCGGTCTCCTTTCGTAAATGTATTGCTCATTTACAAAAAAAAATGATAGAAGGTGGTTACTGTCATAAACAATAATTTAATATATGTGTGTTTCTATATGCACCTTATTATAAAAAACCACGTATAGTACATTTAAACATATATGGGGAAAATCTCCAGAGATGATATAAAAGAGGTCTCTTAACACAACAACTTACACGATTCTGGACACCACGTATCAAAGTCAGTTATGTTTGGTTTGAAGTTGTATTTTCGTTCTTTTTTTTCTTTTTTGGGGTCCAAAGTTACACCGTCATGAAGGAGTGCTGGCACCCCACGCCAACGTCACGCCCGAAATTCGATAGTATACTTAACGACGTTGTTTCCATGTCCAACGATCCATCGGTAGGATACCATTCTCAACATACGTCATAATTAACTAACTTTTCTTTTCTTTCTTTCTTTTTTTTTTTTGGGGGGGGGGCAGGGTGATCGGGGGCGATGGGACCTAAAACTAGGGGGACCATACGACCGTTTTGAGGATATAACAGTTAATCTGATAATTGATCATGTTGTAGTCGAGTTCATCACATGTCCGGTCAAATGTTAATCAAAACATCAAGTCAAATGGCAAGTAACAGTGATGCACGAACAATTACAACAAAGCAATGCCTTTTGGCAAATTCCCCCATCCCTCCCACTCCCGTAGCGCCGCCACTAATTTTGACATAATATTTTAACTTACTTTGCCTTGTCTTCAATTTTGAGTTAAACATGCTATACGATTTTAAGCCGACAAACTTTTAGCCAAAATTAAAAAGTACTATTACTAGGCTTGATTCGTTTCTTATCTTCGCAGAAATATCTCCAGATGTCAAAGTTCACAGAAGAGTATTAAGGTCGAAGGGCGATTAATCTGCCTTCCCATTCTGGCATGCCTGTCAACTGGTACAGCCTTCACCGTGGCCTAAAATAATGGAAACATTTTCTGAACTTACTGCATTGGGAAAAGTAGAACAGCGTACAGAGTCTCAAATGTTGATACTTCTAGAGTAAAGGGTTCAATAAGAAATCATCCCCATATGTGTGCCTTGTTATGCAACAGAGTAGCAATCGCACTAATACGAGTTTGTTTTGATGCAATTTTCAATTTGTGATAACGTAGTCTATTGGCCACTTTCCAAAGCGCTTTGTGTAACCGTAAGGAAAGCAGGCGCGGGTCCGGGGGGGGGGGGTACCAGCTCTGTCCAAAAAAATCATAGAAATTCCTAAAAAATAATGGGACCCCCTGCCCCCCTACTCTAACACCCCCCAAAATTATACTGGTATAAAGTCTGCCTGTTTGCTTCCGAAAATTCTGCATCCAAAGAAAACAGAGATCCAGGCGGGGGAACAAAATGTATGGTAACATTTAACCAAACTTGGATCAATACAAGACCAAATTTACTTAAACCGACTTACGAAATGGGTTACCCGAATCATTGGTTTAATATGTTAACAGTTTCTGGTTGTATTTACTTGGAAATTGGAATTAAGTTTAACCTAAGCATGGGATATGAAGCTATACGCTTGGGTTGTATTTACTTACAGCTTTGTGTCAATTTAACCATAGGCTTGGGGGGGGGGGGGCGCTCATAAGTCCGACGCCTCATAGGTCCAAAATTTCGGACTTATGAGGCGATGGACTTATGAGGCGTCGGACTTATGAGGCATCTGCCTCATAGGTCCGACGGCCCATAAGTCCAACGCCTCATAGTTCCGACGCCTCATAAGTCCGAAACAGCGTTTGTCCATTGTCGGACTTATGAGGCGTCGGACTTATGATACGGCCCCGGCTTGCATGGGCTATAAAGATACGCTTGGCCGGGGTGTATTTACTTAGAACTTGGAGTCAATTTAACTCAAACATTCCTGTTGAAGAATGACAAAGGTCAAAGGGCAAGCTAGGACTGGGGGTTCCAGTGACTGTTGAAGAGATAGAGCGATGGTTTTGTTCGCTACCGGAGGTAAATAAAGATGACTCGGGGGAAAAAAATCTGCCTGTTTCCTGAAAATTATGTCTTTAGTGTCTCTCGATGAGCTTCCTTAGGGATAGGTCTCGGGGGCCTGGAAAACTCTGACTGGGTCAGCACTGCAGGGTAAGCCTATAATCTCTTGTAAGCCTTGGTAGGCTCTTTCTGAAAGACAGGATATGGAATACAAGCAGTTATTGGGAAAACGTTTAACATTGCAAAGCAATTGTATCAGGTGTAAAACTGGACCTAAAAAAAACCAGCAAATATAACAGTATACAAGAGAAGTGCATGTATTTTCGACATTCAGACAGCACAGTAACGGGGATTTACATGTAATAATCGGTCGTTTTCATAATCAGGTGCAAATGTACTATGGACTACGGCAAAGTCTAATCGGGCAGGAAATGAACGCTCTCACCTTCCTTTATCCGGCCACATTTTTCCGTCTCAAGAATTTTGGCTTGCCGAATCTCGCCACGCGGTGGTCTTGCTTGGATATTCCAAGTCACTCTAACCAAAAATATAACCCAAATAGTTTACTCAGAATTTTACCTCAGTCGGTTTTAACCAAGAATTTCAACCAAGAATAATTTGGAGATTTAACCAAAATTGGGTTATTCTTGATTGTTTTAAATCAAAATTTGGATTAAAATTGAACCCAGACAATGTTATAGTGTGCAACCAATATTCCGAAAGCCCTCTAGTAATTCGTAATGTAAAATCATAGTGTAAAATTGTATTGTTTCGTCGGCTTGTTTTATGTCAGCTGAGCTATTTCAGAAGTTCATGGCGACCTCTAATGGATTCTGCAAATTACAACTCGTGAATCGGGCTTTACAAAAAAAACAGTCAACAAAATGAATGTAACATTGTACAGCCTCAGGGCACATAGCCTAGTGTTCAATGCATTTGTATACATTGCGCATGTGAATTGATTAAATATTAAAGCTTGAAACTAACATAAAGTGTCTACAGTACCTTTCAAATGTCCAAGCTTTCATTTTCTTTTATAAAGCTCAAGCATCAACCTGGCGCTGTCAACCCCCCCCCCCCCGCCGCCCTCGAACAAAAATATATAATTACTTTAGAAGCTGGGACCCATTTCTTCACTGGTCTAGTGACAAAATTGAATTATTTCCTATGTTACCATGGTAACCTTTTATCCTTCATGAATATTTAAGCTAAACATCAACTACATGCATTCGTACTAGGCATTCATTTCGAGACTGTGCAGTTTGAATTATATTAAACATGGACATGTTGCAAATGATGCTCTGCCGATACATACAAGAGCAATTTTCGACACGGGCTTAGAACTGTGTACTTGCTTTAGGCATTTCTATCTAAGAAGAAAGTAGATATGATTGTCGAAAATGGGACCCACGATATTGAGATCGAAAGTGCCCATGGCCGTCTGCTGGATGCAGTCAACACAATCATCACCTGCCTGGCTGTGCTTGGTAACGGCATGGTCATCACCGTTATGCTCCTCAGGCGACGAGTGTTCAGCTCCTTCACAAATCGCCTCATCCTGCATCAGTCGATCATCGACTGTGTTGCTGGCGTTGTGTTTTTCTCTCATCAGGTACTTTTGCCAAACATCCTGAAACCTGTGTCTTTGGAGGATACTATCATTGTTCAGTTCATGTGTCGGTTCATACACACACATGTTTTCCTTTGGTGCATAAATGTAACGTCCACCTACAACCTTGTCATGATATCGCTGGAGCGGTTTATGGCGACCTGCTATCCGGTGAAGCATCGCAATTCTTGGTCTGTCGCTAAGCTGAAATTTGCAATAGGAACTGCCTGGGCCATTGGCTTCATATATGTTTCGCATTATATATTTATGTATGAAGCAGGTCAGGATGGTTGTCAACGTACGACACTGGAGACTGGTCTGAAGATTTTTGAAAATATAGTTGTGGTGTTTATTGAGTACTTAGTGCCCATTACTATTTTGATATATACATACAGTCGGATAATCATCAAGCTAACCAAGAAATCTGCTAATCCCATGTACGGTCCTCGAAATGCCATGAACAAAGCAAAGAAGAGCGTTCTTGTTACGACAGTCCTGATAGGTCTGATGTTTGTGGTGTGCTGGACACCAAATGTAGTGTTTAGCACTTATTTGTTCATCACGGGAAAAAAGGATGACTCGTTTTATGAACTTACTACTCTCCTGGTGGCTTGCAACACGTTCGTCAACCCGATCATTTACGGCTTCAAGTACGAGCATTTTCGGTCGGAGTTGAGAAACCTGATCACCAGGAGATGTCGTAGAAACCGAGTGGAGGACAGGAATGCAATTCCAATCCCAGCTGCTGCCCCGAGAATGAACCCAAACTTAGCAGTTCAGTCATTGTAGCGGGCAAAATGTTTTCATTTGACCGATATCTTATTGTATTACATGCACACCACTCTATTGCGCAACGTACTACACTTTTCGTGACGCCACAGATATAGAGAGAACATTAAAGAGGTTGTGGAATGCTCGAAGACATTTCCGTCATTTTCGGGTATATGTATCCTAAGGTGTAATGAAATAAAAAGAACTATTGTGTCCGTCATGAAATGAGTACAAAGGGTACTTTTGAGAGCTGTTTTTCAGGTCCTGTTTCGACCCGAACGTGCAATTTGTGTAAAAGTCGTCGTTGGGGGGCAGCAAACAAAACATAGTAAATCGTGACGTAATAAACAGGACTCCCGATGCAGCTTAATATAAACGAGTCCTGTAGCGAAGGATTTCACCGCCAACTTAGTGTTGATTACATTATGTGTTGTGTAATTTTAATTGTCAAATTATATTCGTATGTATTTGAACATTTTGCATCCAAGCTTTGTAGATCTGTTCAATTGTAAGGCAGTTGTGCCTTGTTTGGATCAGTTGTAGATCTATTTTAGGAACAGACAATCTTTGAGCCAGCTGTAGGCCTGTGCTTTGGATCGAGTATTTTTGAGTCAAATTGTTTTGTTTGTTGCACACACATTAATGTAACTGCAGGTTTTCAGCTAACTGCAGGGCAATTCCACGGTAACGGAAGGACATTTTCACTCATTAAACAAAAGTTCAAATGTGTGTATCACAGACACTGTTCATAGTTACAGCAAACAAATGTCACAATTGTATTGCTATAATGCTACTTTCATTTTCCACACTTTTGGGGGGCATGAATGCCTCCCGTTTATGAATTATGAATATTAATGAGGTCGGTAACGGAAGGACAGTAAAACGGACAAGGGTTTTCCAACTTACTCGCATTTTGCATAAACTCTGTGAATTTTATGGGGCAATTATATTTTAAAGGTAAGAAATGAAATCCCTGAAGCTTTATCTATACTATACCGCCTTTCATTTGACTTTAAGTGCTTCGGTAATATAATTACAACGTTTTAAGCAGATTATAATTTGGTAACGGAAGGACGGTAACGGAAGGACAAAAGGTTTACTCAATTATAGCATGAACAAAATGTGAATTTACACTAATTATACTAGTGAAACAAATTGCTGAAATGTGTAACTGAATGTGAAATCAACAATATGCAGACCTGGCATAAATAATTATACCCAAGAAACTAGTGAGATATAGATAGAAGCCTGCTAATTAATGATAACAAAAGAAAAACGAAAACAACCCAAAACACATAATTCACGAACACAGGACTACTACAGAAATAGACTTCAAACCCATCACCTCAATCCTTAAAAGTTTAAATACACAGTATTTGAACTCTTGAGTATATTGGTTACATGTTCACCAACAACTTTTAATAATAATACCGGTAGGTTCAAAGGTTTACCTAAAGGTTTGGGGTGAGGGGGGGGGGGGGCGACCTGCCTACATGTACATTTAAGGTAAAAACATCCACCGGTAGAACT